GTCTTTGAATTCCGTCCGAGCCCTTCGAGTCCCATCTATACCACTTTTACTAGGCAAAACCTCGATTCCGCACGGAATAGCTGGGGGACTAGCCTGAAAAGCCCCAAGAGCTACACCAGTGTCGATAAGGGCACCCAGACGGAGGGCCTGCCACTTGACACTGCTGCTTCCGACAGCGGATCCTCGTCTCGGAGTGACCGAGATAATATTCCTAACCTTCCTGACTCTAATCCATGGGACCTTCCTGACACGTCGGAGGACCACGTGGGCCAGGATGGGGATGATGAATCCGAGCATGATGGTGATTTTGAAATCCATGAAGCGAGCAATACGACCATCGCCAGACCGGACAGTACGGGCACTGCAGTGGCAGCCCCGGTCGAGGACGGCCCTGTGCAGAATTCATCGCCCACCTTTTCTCGTCCACGGTTGGTGACTATCCCCAAACGCAACCCTCCCCCAGCTCTGCCACCACGTAATCCAGAGCGCAAACATGACTCTTTCTCGACTCAAAGCTCCATCCCACCTGCCTCTCCATCGCCCACCAGCTCTGCGCACCCCGAGATCCGGAAGTCCAGCGAGTCATTGCGCAGTGACATGAGTCCCAACGGGTTCATGGAGATTACCCAATCGAAGATGGATGATGTCGTGATTGGCACTCACAACCATTTGCATGACGATATACACGCTGTGGAAAAGGATGAATTTCATTCGATACCCACTTCACCAGAACCTGAGGAAAAACCAGTGCTTAAAATGGGGAGTGAAGCCGAGATCGTCTAGTCTGGAGGATTATGACCATTTATGACCTTTCAACACGAGATAGCGCGTTTGATCTTTTTTTTTCTTTTTTAGCCTTAGCGGGCATGCTATGATGAATACTTCTTTTGTTTGGGCTGGCCTTTCAATGCCGGGTGGCGGATGGTCTTTGTGTCGACTTGGATTTTTTTTTCTTTTCAATTATACCATATGGAAGGAGAGGTTCAAGAGTTGAAACCCTTCGCTGTATGTACTGTACTGTACTGTACATTATTCTTCATTTTCGGTGCGATAATTTCCCTCGAGAAGAGGACATCATTTGAATGACTCCATGGTGATCAGCCACTGCAATCTGTGCAACCTATGCCATCGCATAGTTAGCCGCCCACGAACTGACTGCCTACTCCATGACAACAACGACAATTATTACTTTTTTGCCAAGGCGATTTTAGGTTAGCAGAACAAAGACCTGTCTATCGATACAGGAGGCTCACGTGGGCTGGTGCCTAGAGCCGGCGGGTCGGGCAGTCGGCGGATTCCCCTTAACCAACCCCAACTGCCTCGTGTCGCCCAATCGTTGAGCGGCCCTTGCTGCTTCAAGTAACAGAAGCAGTGGTCGGGCCATGTCTGCCTGCCATGGGGTTTCTTATTTTCTAACTCATCACCTTTGTATTTTCTATCTGAGACCTTGAGATCGAACTGAATCGCCTTAGCGCAAGGCAGCAGTTGGGGTCTCAGCGTCGCGCCTAGTTGCGACCCCGGGTGCTCTAGATCTAATTAACTGCATACAGAATACGAGGTGGATCTCACAGATATTTTAAAGAGACAACATCCACCCTGACTTCTTTCTTTCTTTCTCTTTTCTTTTAATTCTTCATTCCACGTTGTACATTTTTTTTTTTTTTTGTCTCCTTGTCACCTAGGGACTTTTCTGAGCCATGGCTCCGTCCACCTTCAAGGGACTCGTGGTCGTCGCAAGTGGGACCTTTCCGGGGTACAAGCAAGGTGAGCTAATACAGCCCAGCAATTATTATAAGGATTGTTTTTTTTTAATTCTTGCTTTTGGCATCTGCTGACTGATGGTTGTTAGCCGACCTGAAGAAAATCGTCGAGGATAACGGCGGTTGTTTCAGCTCCAAAGTCACGGATGAATGCACCCATTTGGTGTCTACTCAGAAAGAGGTGGATAACAATGGGACAAAAAGTGAGTGCAAAATTTATACTAGCTGCGCATGATCTGTTTCCAGATTAAGTTGGTCATTTAGCGCAATTATTTTTTTTCCAACCTGTATAATTCTTCTCTGGATTCTCCAAAATGGCTTCTATTATGCCATTTCATCCATCCTCGCTGACGGGAGGGTCATCGCGGTTAGATAAGCAAGCTGCAAAGCTGGAAGATTGCTATGTAGTATCCCTCGACTGGCTGCTAGATTCAGAAAAGGCCAAAAAACGACTTTCCGAAAAGAAGTATCTCTTTGGCCCGACCAAGGATGTCAAGGATGCTTCTGATGCTGATGCCTCCAAAAATGAGAACGGCTCGTCCAAGAAACGTTCCCTCGCAGACACCTTTGACGGGGATGAGCAACTTCCCAACAAGAAGCAAAGGGACAGACAGAAAGCCAAGTCGAAAGATTTGAAGGTGGAAGTCGACGAATGTTTCCGATTTCACAATGGAGGAGGTATGATGGGTGCACCGCTGATTTCAAACCGTAAGGCTGACTGAACAATTTAGTACCAGTTGAAGTCTATATCGACGATTCTGGACTCATCTGGGATGCCACGCTCAACCAGACCAATGCAGCCTATAACAACAACAAGTTCTACCGTATCCAGCTGCTTAAGAATAAATTTTCTGACGAATACAACACTTGGACTCGATGGGGCCGTGTGGGGGAAGATGGCCAGAGCGCCCTGTTAGGAAATAATACTTTGGACATGGCCAAACGCCATTTCGAGAAGAAGTTCCGAGATAAAACAGGCCTTAGTTGGGCCGACCGGCTGGCGCCTCCAAAGAGCGGCAAGTACGCTTTTGTTGAACGCAATTACGAAGAGTCCGACTCGGAAGACGAGAAGGCCACGAAGAAGAAAGCTAAAAAGGAAACAGAGGAGGAACGCAAGCATGTCGAGAGCAAGCTTCCCGAAAAGGTCCAGCAGCTCATTGCCTTCATCTTCAACCAGCAGTATTTCCATAACGCGATGGCCCAGATGTCATATGATGCCAACAAGCTCCCTCTGGGGAAGTTAAGCAAGCGGACGCTGCAGACTGGCTTCCAGATCCTGAAGGATCTGTCTGAGCTGATTAACGACCAGTCTCTAGCGACGTCCAAATATGGTAAGTCGTATTTGGCGGCCACGGAGGAACTCAGCAATCGATACTTTACCATTATCCCTCACGATTTTGGGCGCAATCGGCCTCCTGTGATCAACACGCCAAACTTGATCAAGAAAGAGGTCGATCTATTGGAGAGCCTGACGGACATGGAGATTGCCAACAGCATTGTCAAGGAGTCCAAGGATGATGAAATGGTTCATGTTCTGGATCGGCAGTTCCAGGGACTGAAGTTGCGGGAAATGACTCCACGTAGGTGCCCAGATGGTTTCGGATCGTTCCACGGAGAGGAGCACAATGCTAATAGAGCCTTTTAGTGGATCACAAATCCACTGAATTCCAAGAATTGGAGGACTATCTAATGAAGTCGCACGGATCCACTCACCATATCCGTTTCAAAGTGAGTACTATCGAACCTCCCGTGGCAATGGTGACTGACCGTTACAGGTGCAAGACATCTTCCGCATTGAGCGCGAGGGAGAGAATGAGCGTTTCATGAAGTCGCCGTATGCGAATATTAAGAACAGCAACCGCCGTCTGCTGTGGCACGGCTCCCGAAGCACCAATTACGGAGGAATCCTGAGTCAGGGGCTGCGTATTGCCCCTCCGGAGGCGCCTGTCACTGGCTACATGTTCGGCAAGGGAGTGTATTTTGCCGATATCTCAAGCAAGTCAGCCAACTACTGTTGGGCGTCACAAAGCGGAAAGATTGGACTGCTCCTGCTCTGCGATGTCGAACTGGGCGATCCAATGCTGGAACTCGACCAAGCAAACTACAACGCCGGCGAGGATGCCAAAGCTCAAGGTTGTCTGGCGACGCTCGGCCGGGGATCTCTTGTGCCGCAGGGTTGGAAAGATGCGGGCTGCGTGCATCCGAACCTGAAAGGGGTGCTGATGCCCGACACTTCTGTCCCTCCAGGACCGTCGGGAAACAATGGATCGTTGATATATAATGAGTACATCGTCTACGATGTGGCTCAGATCCGCCAGAGGTATCTGTTGATGGTGCACATGTACTGAGGCGACGGAGCGTTGGGAGGTATCCGGGATGGTGAATGGAGTTTAGCGGAATTGAGGATTGCGACTTTTTTTTTTATTTTGGGGCCGGGATGTTGATTTCTGTTTTAGTTTCGTACTGCCTAACGTTGTAATCTACGTATAATCGGCTTGCAGAAATAGGGTCCTTCCCCTTTATCTAGGTAGCTAATTGACCTATTCTATTCTACATAAGCGTACCCCAAACAAACAGCCGGAACCCGAAGTAACTTCGACGTAATACTTAACCGGGGCTATCGGCAACCTATTCTTCATCTTCTTCGCACCCGTGAGACATTTAACCAACCTCGGCCTCACAAGCTGTCGATAATATTGCTTGTATGATTGCCAGTAGCAATTCCACACTACTCCGTAGGTAGACTTGGGCAACTGTGTAACGGAGGATGTCTCGGTCTCATTTTCTGGGAAATACCTGGCAAATCATACTTCGTCACTGCAAGGGGCACAGAGCAGGTACCAATCTGCGCAGGTAGGTATTCTGCAAGCTTCCGCTTGATATCTTTTTCTCTGCTCTTTTCTTTGTTACATTGCGCCTGCTTGATCCACGTAGGGTTGGGTACACAAGCCCTAGCTGCCGCAGTTGCCGAATTGGGTAAGCAGAGTGAATGTCCGCTGTTTTCATATATTTCCTTCTGTCCTGCATACGGAGTATTCGTGCAATTTGTTCCGTCACACTTCGATTCAGTCTCTCTCACCAGCGGTATACTTCTTTTGTATGATCTGCTGCATTTCGCAATGCGCCTTCTTACAGGCTCCATTGTTGCTGCTGGCCTAGCGGGTGCCGTGCTGGCCCAGTACTTCCCCCCAAGCCCCGAAGGTCTCACGGTCGTAAAGTCCAACGTGACCAAGGGTGTGTCCATCTCATATAAAGAGGTATGTAGGTTAATTGTCTGTCAACCAATGTGTGAACTGACTGAAAGCCCACTCAGCCAGGGATTTGTGAAACCACTGAAGGGGTCAAATCATATTCTGGCTACGTGAGCCTTCCCAACAACACTCTGGCCAACGTTGGCGTAGATCAGCCGTATCCCATCAACATCTTTTTCTGGTTCTTCGAGTCTCGCCACGACCCAGCTAATTCGCCGCTGTCGATCTGGATGAATGGCGGCCCCGGCGCGTCCTCACTGATGGGCCTGTTCCAGGAAAACGGACCCTGCAAGGTCAATCCGGACTCGAATTCGACCTATTTAAATCCGTTTTCCTGGAACAACTATGCCAACATCTTGTACATCGACCAGCCCAACCAGGTTGGTTTCAGCTATGACGTGCCTATGAATGGTACTTACGACCAAGTGTCCAGCCTGCAGCTAGTGGATGATTTCCCCGATGGAAGTGTTCCCACGCAGAACAACACGTTCTACGTCGGCACGTTTCCTAGCATGAATTATAAAACCACCGCCAACGGAACTGAGAATGCTGCTAGAGCCTTCTGGGAGTTTGCTCAGATCTGGTTTACCGAGTTTCCCGAGTACAAGCCCAACGACGATCGCGTTAGCATCTGGGCCGAGTCCTACGGCGGCCACTATGGACCGTCCTTCACAGCCTTCTTCCAAGAGCAGAACGAGAAGATTGCGAACGGAACCCTCCAGGCGGATGGCGAGCTGCACTACATCCACTTGGACACACTCGGCATTATAAATGGGTGTATAGACCGCCTGATGCAGGACTGGTCGTACCCGCAGATTGCCTACAACAACACTTACTACATCGAAGCGATGAGCGAAATACTCTACATTACAACCATGGATGCTTGGAACAGGCCAGGCGGGTGCAAGGACCTCCTCAAGCATTGTCGTGCTCTGGCTGCCGAGAACGACCCCAATGCCTTCGGAAATAATGCAACCGTCAATGATGCGTGCGCCTACGCGGCCATCTGGTGCACGACGAATGTGGAAGGTCCTTACGTCGAAAACTCGGACAGGTCGTACTATGACATAGCGCACCCCTCTCGTGACCCGTTTCCTCCTTCATACTTCCTGGGTTTCTTGAACCGGCACTGGGTTCAGGGTGCTCTTGGTGTTCCCATCAACTTTACAGAGGAAATCCCCAGCGTATATAGCGCATTCGGGCTCACGGGTGACATCGCCCGGCCCGATCTCCTAGGCTACCTAGACGATCTGGCATACATATTGGAGTCTGGGATCAAGGTGACCCTGGTCTACGGGGACCGCGACTACGCATGCAACTGGATTGGTGGAGAGAAAGTCAGCCTCGAGGTCAACTACACGGGTGCAGACAACTTCCGTTCCGCAGGCTATGCGAACCTCCAGACCAACTCGTCCTACGTGGGTGGCCAGGTGCGCCAGTACGGCAACTTCTCCTTCACGCGCGTCTACGAAGCAGGCCACCAAGTCCCAGCGTACCAGCCCGAGACGGCGTATCAAATCTTCAACCGGTCGCTCTCGAATCTGGATATCGCAACGGGGAAGATCTCGACGATCGAGAATCCCACCTACAAGACGGAAGGCCCGTCTACAACATGGGACATCAAGAACGAAATTCCTCCAATGCCAGCTCCCACCTGCTACATCTTGGCTCTTAAGGAAACCTGCACTGACGACCAGGCTCAGAGCGTCATTAACGGCTCCGCGCTGGTCCGCGACTACATCGTGGTGGATGGGAACTCGCAAGACCTGTTCTTCCCCAACGGCACGGTCAAGCGGGTTGACATTCCTCACTTATTTCAGCTTTAGTTCTTTTTTGAAGACTTCAAGGGCGGATATATATTATATATGTGCTCATCCTCTTGATCATCAACATCCTCAACATGTATAGATGTCTATTGTATGTGTGACGCTTTAACGGAGATGCAATTCTCAGATCTTTTAATAAATACAGTATCAAAAGAGAGAGATAATGAAAAGACCTTAATGCGAGATCCATTCTGTATTTCTTAAGTACATACATACATACTATATACACATATTATATACATGTGTTGAAGTATGTCTGTCTGTCTATCTATCTATCTATCTATTTATTAGATGAATATTATCGTATTGTATCGTTTGATAATCTATCGAGGCAGCCACCCTTTTGTCTTTTCCCATTTTTCCCATCTTTCCTTTGTTCATTTCATTGCGCGTCACTTCATCACTTCAAAACTCCTCTCTTGCATGAAGGCTATACAGCATCAACAAGAGATTTTGTTTTCTCTTTCAAGCATATACAGATATATATGCATGAAGATAGGTAGGTAGACAAGTCACAAACACACACAAGACATAGACAAAGAATATGGATTGGGTAAAAAAAAAAGAGGGAGAGAAAAACAATGAACGAAAGAATGACTGTTTTGTCCATCACGGCTTCTGCAGCTGCTCCTTGCGGAAGAACAGGAAGCAGAGAACATTGACCGAGATCATGAAGAGGAGACAGACCCAGAAGTCGGCCTTGGACAGACCCTGGGCTACGCCGGCGGAGAAGTCGGGGAAGACGTCGCCAGGGCCGACTTTATCGGGTGCAGTGGCGCGCGCCAGGATCGTCCCGATGGAACCGATGACTTGGGCCGCGAGCAGGGTGAAGGCGATGTGGAAACGGGTGAGGGTGTTGAGGAGGATCATGCCAAAGCCTGTTTCAAAGAAGAGTCAGTATTGTTCAATTGAGAGCCATTATCACTTTTGCATGTTCTCAAGGGGCAAAAAAGGACTGAATACTTACCTACTCCCTGCAGGGCATCTAGGACCCCGAGCCACAGCCAAAGTCCCCTCCCGACGAGGGCACTGGCTACTGGCCCTCCAGCCCAAGGAACATAGGATCCAATGTTGGATGTCGACCAGAGCATCTGGGCCCATCTGGGAGTCCCCAGGCCAATGGAAAAGATTGGAACGAACCATGCGTGCCGTTTGGAAAAGACTCCAAAGACCCACAGACCAATGGCCCAAACCACGATGAAGAAAATAATAACCAGTATGGCGATCTGCCATCGTTGGGCGTGCTTGCTGGACCACAGATAGAGCCAGTTGCGGCCATACGGCGCAGAGAGCCAGTAGTTCTGAATGAACACGGAGTAGAAGAACCACTATTATCGACGGTTAGCTATCGAAGCTGCTCTGTATGAGAAAAGAGGATCACGCGAGACATACCAGAATGACCTTCCGGCGGAACAAGGTCAGGTAGAACGCTGGTATTTTACCGGGGGCCTGTCGATAGTAATCAGGGAGACCAAAGAAGACGATAGCTGCAATGCCCCATAGCAGTACTGCAATACCCAGTCCGACGCCGATAAGCAAGCCAGGATTGGAATCCGCCAGACTGGTCCTCGTGGAGCCGGCCTGCGTGGCAGCTGCCATCGCGCTTCCCCAGTACCATAAGAAAGTCACGTATATCTGTTGGGACCCCTGGACGACACACGCCCGGTAGACCCAGGAAGTGACAGATGCGCTTCCTGTTTCCAATGTCAGCGCAACTCGACCTTCGAAAGGATAGATTAACTCTCTTACCTTCGTCTCCAAAGTTGAGGGCAAAGAAGATAGAACCACTCGAGGATGCAAATGCATAACAGCCTGTGGCAACATTCTGCATCCAAGCCCTCCCAATACCGGGTTTGACCAAGGAAGAAAAGCCGACAAAAAGAAACGCGGACCCATAGAACTGCGGTTCATCCGTTAGCTTACATGCTACAGGGGGCAGGGTTTAAAAAATCCGAAAGAGGCGTACCAGGAACGGAATGGATAAGACATATACGGATCGGAAAGCACGGAAAACTAGCCACCAGACGATCGAAGAAACGAGGTAGATGGTGGCTACAATGTACAACCTCTCCGCAGGCTCACCGATCTCTCCGTTCAGTAGGGTAATTTGATAGGAATTGGCGGCAATTATTTGGCCCTGGAGAATGTCAGCAGGTGATATGTAGAGCGTTTCATTTCTCCGGCTTGACTTACAAAGGCGAGTATGATCGAGTACAATGGCCAGTCGCCAATTCTGTAGAGCAAAAAGCGCCTCAAACCTGACGGGGGAACATAGTCCTTCGGGAGGAGGAATTCGTCAGAAGGCTTCTCGTCAACCGGTGTCCCACCGCGAGATGGCGAAGCGGCCCGACTGCTGGAAAGCATTTTGACCCTAAAGATTGACGACGCTGGAGTACTGCCCATAGGTGATCGACCCAGCTTGACTTCTCGATATTTATTGAACCAGTCCTTTTCGCTCTTGGATAGGTATTCTTCAATGCATAGCGAGTCCTCCGAGTTCTTGCCGTTGAGATTCGCCAACTTCCTCTCAAAGTTCCTGGCGTATTCATTGGTTGAATCCGTGAAAAAGGGATTGACTTTTTGCAGGTTATAGTCCTGTTTCTCTTTCACGATGCTCTCAACGCTCAAGAGACTCAGATTGCTCGAATCCCGATGACGGGTAGACAAAGGTGGGTTTAGTAAGGGATCTTCAAAATTGGCGCAGGTGGGTGTGGTCATCCCAGAAGATGGCGGATTCGGGGTGTTCACGCCAGAGGTGGCGTACGGAGACGGAGATGGTAACATTCCATCCCTCAACAGACCAGGTGGTACGTCTGGGCCTTCTCCAGTGTCGTACATATTAGGATATGTTGTGCTCTCAGGGCCCCTTCGACGAGGAGGACTAAGCGGCTGGTCTCCATAACCCGAGAGAACGTTCTCATCGTCAGATGACTCCTCGGCTCCTGCTGCAGTCGATTGCGAGCTGGTCCCCCTGCTTTGGCGATTCCTTGTATGGCCAGGCCCCTTGCGACTTCCAAAATGGCGTGAAATGTCGCCGTGGGTGGTATCATCTTGGGACGATGTCTCGGTCCCTTGGCTCGTTTGCTGGCTTGAACTTGAACGATGACTTGGAAACACCGGAGTCCTAGCGATCAAGTCGCCACGTCGAGCATACTTCTTGTGCTTCTCTATCGCCGTAGACTGTAGAGTCTCAAGATCCTCCACCCACTGTGCAACAGGGAAGCGCTGCTTGCCAGAGCGAGCACGCATGATGGCCCGCACAGAAGGTTTAGAGCTAAGAGCCTCGTGAATTGCGAGTTTAAATTGATGAATCAGGTGCTTTGAGGTCATAGATTCACTATATTTGTCAGCATGGTAAAGGCCAGATGAAGGGCATGGTGAGATACTTACATGCTATACCACCAGCCAGGCATCTGTCCCAAACCGCCCACACTGATAAGGCGTTAGACACTTTCTGCATAAGGATACGCAATTCCCTTGAATACTTACCGAGATCCAACCCCAAGAGCACCTTTGCGGCCAAACTCTACTGCTACAAGACCAAATGGCTCATCGCGTGATGGAATCAATGCAAATTCCGCACCGCTGAAGATAAATGGCGGCAGTGCGGTGAACTCGGGCTTTGAGAACACGCGGCCAGGAAACAATTCCATCAGCCTATTGAGCTTGATGGCCGCGAATTTCCCATACAGATCAATCACTGGGCCCACGCAAATTAGTTGCGTGTTTGGGTAGTTCTCCAAGATAGATGGGAAGACATCAGCGATGAGATCGATTCCTTTCTGCATTGACCAACGGCCGACGAAGACGAAGAGCTCAGCGTTTGGATTTTGCTCCAATCCAGCCCATTCTTGAGCCTGCCGTTTCAGATCTGCCCTGCGCGCTTCGAATTCTGGATCAACCTGAGCTTCTTCAATTGGCTCTCCCCTCTTCCAGTCCCCTGTGTCAGCTGGATCCGGGTTGGGCAGGGATCCTATCTCTTTCAAACCCCAGAATATGGGGTATCTTGCAAATGACCTTTTCCCATATTTCTTTGATACACCCACAGCCCCGAAGCCGTTTTGATGAATGTGCAGATAGCTGGCTGCAGCGTGAAGAAGGTTGAAAACGTCGCCAAACTGAACATACTTTTTCACAATAGCTGGGTCTAGGTTAAAGACATCACAAACCTCCTGGAATTCTCTTGGTGTTCTCATAGGCCAAAGGCCCTGGAACTCAGCATTGTGGAGAGACAAGCAACATGGTATTGTCTTTGGAAGCAGGTGGAGAGGTGCTATTGCTCCATGGTAGTCATTAATGTGATAGAGATCAACAGGGAATCTCCTCAATGCTTCCGCAATGCAAGAATTCCAGGCGGAATAATAAATAGCGGAATCGAGGTCATCCATCCGAGCAGGATATGGCTCAGACTTCGTTTGCGCCCTAAAGACAGGGGCATCGAGGAGAACATAAGTAATGTTGCGCAGGACATGATACTGCACCTCAACTTGGAAAGTCTGCCCAAGAATGGTGACATGCATTGGCTCTGCTCTCTGATCAATAGGGTATTCGACATCCCCAACGCAAGGAACGACCCAAATCAGATTTTGGTGGCCTAGATTCTTCCCCATTAATTGTGCCATCACGCCTAGACCACCAATTTTGATTTTGATTCCCCAATCTTCAATATCATATTCCATGGTCGCAATAAGAACGGTCCTCCGCGAATCGCCAGCATCGGCATTAAGCGCCTGTCTGGCAGCAGAATCCTCCGGCCGCCGGTTCCAGAGCTTGCTTAAAATTCCACCGGAGACTGATTCAGCATCATAGCCACGATGCGACTTATTCACCCAAGGGAATCTTTTCAAGAATGGAAGACGCAGTAAGGATTTCCGTTCTGAGACGCCGACCTTGTTGAACTTGACCTGGTAGAAAGCTTTAAGATAGATCCAAACAGCTGCGATGGCGGTCATTAGTGGGATCACAGCGAGGAGAACGAAAAGTGCCATCTGAACTCTCTGCGACCCTTCAGGAGTCATATAGTATCGCAGGTCTCCGTCATCCATAGATATCCGCCAAGACAAAAATGGCCATGGAGGCGGATGTGTGACGTTGATGAAGTTGGTGAGCAAAGTTATTGGAGGGATACGATCCAGGATGTTGTCTCCATCGATATCGCCAAACACTTGGGTCTTATCGGGTTGGCCGTCAGGATTCATCCCCCAGGCGTTGAGTGCAATCTGAGAGGGCCACTCTGTCATGAAGTGGTATTCCCACTGCCCACTGAGATTGCTCAGGCTCATTTGACTTGGGTAACCAGAATCAAACAAAAACTGGTTAAAGTCACCTTGGACCCAGAAATGAGGGAATCGACGTGGGGGATGGTCATCCCAAGCAAGATCACCATGCTGGTAGTGATTGCTGCTTCCTGTAACCCTATTCCAGTATTGGACCATAATATGTTCACCCTCCCATGCTTGTGCCTTTGTTCCAGTCCAATTCTTAGGGGGAATAGATACATTCCCCCCTGTATATGGCATCCAATCACTCCAGGAAGAACCGAAATCAAGAGTGTAACGCCACATTTCCGCCCCTGGAGCTTTATGGGAAACCCAGAGAGTTCCATTATTTGAATTATCCTTATAGAGAAGGGTTCTGCTGTAGTTGGCCTGCTTCGGCCACACCATTGGGTTGTCCATCGAGCCTATGCGAAACATGAAATGATCGACAGACTGCGACGCCAGTTAGACCATCATCGGGGAATTGGCATTTGGGGAACTATCGTTCAGGGAACTTACATTTGTTGCACGATTTCCGGCTTTGTTAGTCACATTTTTGACAATCACTTCATGGACGCCATGAAACACGTTTGTCAGCTCGATGGAGTAGTTGTACACACTGGGGAACGCTCCCGACCAATTGGCCACTGGTGTCTCTGGAATCGCGCCACATGAGACAGTGCTTTTGTCAAACTGAGCCGTCTGGTTATATAGCGCAGTGGAAGATACTGAGAGCGCATTTGTTATGCTATCGCAATCCATCTCCTCAGAGAATTGAAAACTGATTGGAACTCGTTCCCCTGATGTGACTGTCGAGAGTATGCGCGCATCATGGCCGGGGGTGAACTTTGTAATGAACGGCGACGGAGCAACAAATTTGTCCTTTGGAACAAATGCCTTGAATCCCCATGGAGGAATAGTCATGTTGGGAAGGCAGCCATTCGGTTTCGTGGATCCTTCGAGCCTAGATATATTCGTGGTGAGCATTCTATTCTTGATGTCTTTCTGTCTATACCCCTAGCTCGGGAACGGGGAAGCATACCCTAACTTGTGCGAACTCGTCTGCAAGGTGTACTCCTCGAATGGAGGAAGGAGATTTTTCACAGTAGTTCCCTCGTCAAATGGGGAGACAAGTGCCTCATGCTGGTCAAAACAGTTAAACTGGTAATTGATCGTACGGTTGTCGTTTTGATAGACCAGCCAGATACTCTGGTTCCCTTGCCCAATACCTGTGAAGTCTTGGACGCCATTAAAACGGGATCGGTAGACACTCCACATCCCAGTTTCTGTCGGAGTGCCATTGCTCCCTGGGAGGTAGATATCATATGTCTTGTTGGAGAGTTGCTGCAAATAGTAACCATCATTCAGCACCGGATAATTCTGTCGTATCTCAAACATGGTCTTAACCAGGCCGCGGATTGGGTGGGTCGGATCACGATGATCCAGGCTGATACTGTCATCACTGCAGCCGTATAATGCTCTATCAACAGGGAAGTTATTATATTTCACCGAGCCTACTTTGTAGCAGCCATGCAACTGCCATGCCAGGGCAGAAGACATGGGAGAGCGACCGTACACTGCGACTGTTAGCGTTGTTTATTCCATAAGGAAGACTCCGTCTTACCGTAATTGGCATTTGTGTTTTCTAGCACGTAGAATTCTTGTTCCTCGCCCCAGGTGAGGATCGGGACACCAGGCATCAGTAAGGTTACAACATAAAGCGCAAGCACTTGCTTGTGTGTTCCATTCCTTATCGATGGCCAGCGGAAGACATCTTGATTGGAAGTGCCGTACAGGTGTCTTGGATCAAATTTGCCAGTATTAGTATTGACCATGTCATTGGTCTGTATAAGACCATTCCATAGTTGGATGAAATTTGTGGGAGGATCCCCTTCCGCTTCGAAGGTTCCGTCCATTCTGCGAACTGGGTGAGCCTACAGATCCTTTTAGCCGGCTAGGCATGCAGAGATTCCTTACCCCAAGAATCTTGTTAGAGCTCTGTATACGCTGTAGTGGAATGCAGCCGCATCCAAAGCCACTTTTTCGGGTGGCCTTAAGTATTGATTGGGAACCGAAACGTTTGTCATGGTCACAGCTTCTGTTATGTTTGTAATGGTCTGATTCGTCTGCTGACCACGGCCAATGTACAGGGCACCGAAGGAGTTTCCAGACACGATCTCACCGGGAATGTAGAAATTATTCTTTCCGAAGCGCCGGGCACATTTGCGAATGTAGTCAGACCATTCTCCCTGTGCATCTAGGGTGACTTGCAAGGCCTTATCGATACGGAAGCCATCAATGTCTAGCATAGCTATAGTGATGCACGAGAAGTGTTCGATCTTATGTCTCACATCTGGCCGCCACTCCCTGAGACGATCCTGCACGAATGCGAATTTGGTGATCTGACGCTCCCATTCGGTGTAATTGCCGAAGGAGGCAACCTCGCCATACTACGAAGGTCAGTAGGATAAGCGCCAAATGGATCTTGGAAGAAGGATTATTCACCTGGTCAAATTCACTATTGCGACACCCTTTGACAAGTGTGGTGTTCGTCAGACCGCGTCCAAGGTCGTCCCAGAACCGAGGGTATGCACATTCGTCGAGCCATTCATTCCCAGGCTGAAAGTCGTGGTAGCGGCGCGAGGTCTTCCACACATAGTTGTACTCATAGGGATTGAGAGGTGCAGAAGTATTCAAGAAGCCTTCAACCCAATCAGGTCGCCCAACCTGTGGAGACATTAGATTCTATCCCCCTTCCAAAACGGGTATGTTCAGGAAAACTCACGTAGCCATGGTGTTTTCGAAAATGATATACATCCCACGTCGATGTGCCTCCGAGATCATCGCGCGCCAGTCGTCAATCGTTCCAAAGTGGTAGTCTAGAAGTGTCAGATCCAGAGGAGAATAGCCATCTGCACCCCACGGCTGATTGATTTGTGGCATGCCCGCAAAGTAGATTCCCTGTTGCCTCGTCAGCATCCAAGATATAGCAGAAAACCGAGCAAAACTCGTCCTCACCTTAATTCCCATTCCTTGTAGGTAATCGAAGCTATCCATCAGACCCCGCACATCGCCCCCATGTCGGAGTTGGTTGGACAGAATATCATGTTCCCATTGCGTCCCGTTCGCATCATCATTCGATGGATCTCCATTGACAAATCTGTCGAGGAATATGGTATAGAAGGGGAAACGCCAGTTGTCGGGAGACGGATGATAGGTGTGATTCTCCCACTCTCCCCAATAATCCAGCGGGTCCGTTGCTGTTTGATTCTGATTGAGGTTGAACTTGACTTGCTCAGGGTCATATCGGAGGGCAGAGACCCCCGGAAGCGTGGCCAGGAGGGGAATCCATGTCACCACACCATCGAGGAGTCTCATCTCTTTTTTTCCCCGTCTTTTTTTTCCACGAGGAAACCAGCAACCCGAGATTGAAATCTCCACTGGTAAGCAGACGTAACAAACCAAGAAGAGTGCAAAATACCGTGAAAGAGCGACAAACGGTCCTTCCGTCACTACCGGGACAGTTCCAGGCACCTGACCCCTGCTCTTCCCACCCTCAGGGGGAAGAATAGGTTGCGGATGGGAAAGCTTGTTCGTACAGACAGTAGGTATCTGATCCAGCAGCAGTATTGAGTTTATCGAAACCAAAGGAAGATAGGATTGTACCAGGTAACTCTCGTAGAACCCTAGAGGGAGAAAAGACTTGTTTCCGAAGAAACGAGAGCACGCGAGTCGTCACTCGTATTGATAGAGAGGAAAAAAAGAGTGCGAGCGTGGCCAGGAAGCATGGGCGATGGCACGCTGCTTAGCCCCACAGTCAATCACTAAGTATACAACAAAGCTGAAGCCAGACTGCATTGGCGGATCGAAGGACCTGTCCCTCATCTGATAGCTCGGCAGCCGGCTGTGCCGACTGAAGGCAGCTTTGGGATGTGTTTTGTCAGACCGTTCTAAGAACATGGTATAGGCGGGTCCCGGTGGCCTGGGAAGTCATGGTGACATTGCTCCACCGATGCAAGATGACACCTGAGCATCCAGATAACAGCAGCCTGTGGGGATGAAAAGTGGGCTATCTGTTCGTTTTGGTTGGGCTACGACCTCCAGAACGTTCGATAGATACTGCAGGGCAAGTTCTTGACGATTTCCGAGGCTGCGGCTCATCAGACTCCGTCATAAGCGGGTCTCTACAACTGGGCAGGCCCCACCCAGCACCCAAAATAAACACTATAAAAAGACATCTAATGACGTGCATGCCCTTTGCCTGATGAACAAAAAAAAAGCCACAAACAAAACCTATGAAAAGAGATAGGCAGGAAAAACATGTGTTTAGTGGAGAAAAGCTCAGAAGCTCTGAAAGGAGAAAATGCCAAATCGAAATCACAAGGTCAGGCTGGACAGAGTCGCCACGATTGGCCAAGTCGAAGACCACAGGCACATACTATGCAAACCGGTTGATATACGACGTCAATTAGGTAGTCTCTCGTACAATAGACAAGTAACTCGTCGTTATTTCAGCAATAATATTAAGATGGACGTGGTATACTGCAGGTGTTCAACTAGTCATTCCGTCAGCCACCTCTTGAGCAAGGGATACGTGATAGTCAGCCACCATGTGCTCTCTTCAGTGCAGATAATGCACAGCGCCCAGGCATGCTTGTTATGCCCAATTGTTTTCGCACGCAGCAAAGACGAGATGCAGCCTGGGGCAATCTTTGCCATCCTATCGCGATCCCCTGTTTGTGTTCGAGGCATTTGTGCCGACACGCAACCAAACACAACGTCGAAACTTGCAGTGTCTGGTGGGGTTGAGGGATTGTTGGTTAAGGTCATTGGAGGAGTTTCTTGCTGTCTCTATCTGGGTCACGGCAACTTCGGCGGTGCGACGAAAGTAACGTGGGAAAAAGTCGTCAACATGGTAGGCTCGGAACGACGTCCGGAAGGCCGGTAACTGGCATCTGGGACCATCCTGAGTCTGTGAGTTTCTGGACAAGCAGAGATCCCGGGGATTCGTGAACTGTGTGGGAGCCGGCTGGGCAGAACCAGTGGGCAAGTATGGATAAGATGGCTTGACCTGGGCCATTGCCTGCTGTAGACTGGGGCGAGCGCCACAGCTAGGGCTCCGCAGACTGGCGATTCTGATTGAATCAGCAGAGGAACAAGAACCTAAGCGTATCAGCTCGACAAGATTAACAACGTCTGGAGATGAAACTAGTCACATTAGGCGACGTGTCAGTCGGGCCGAGACGCGAGGCAGGCGGCGATCCAGGCCAGCCCTGCGCCCGGCGGGAGATAAGGAAAAGGCATTCCTGGCCTCTGATTGGCCAGTGACGGCGGGCCCGCGGTTGCCAATTTTAACTCAATCTCCATCGCTGACTGCCCAGCTCGGCAGGAACGATCCACTAACCCACCTGGGTTAGGCAGGCACGAAGTCAGGAACCCGCCCGAGTTTAGACAGCTCACCACAGAGCAGTCACTGTCATGCCGCAGCCTCACCCATTGCATCCCATACTCGCTCTCTCCCTTGATCGAATTGGATGTCATCTCAGGCGAGATTGATCTATCAGTCATCACTACTGCATTATCAGAACCTCAGCTAAGCCTGCATGCAGGTGCATCTTAGTATCTTGGCTTCTGATACCGCTGGCAATATTGCCTGCATTATGGCGAGGCGGTGACCAGCATCGACCCCTCCACTTGCGTCATGCAGCAAGCTTCGATCGTCCCACAGGAGCTTCTATCCGCCAACACGCAGTCGAGAGATGTGACGACAGTGGAGAATTTTTTAGTTATGATTACTTGATGTATTTCTTCCTAGATATTCATCGGACTGTTTGCAATTACTAATCAGGGACTGTTTGACAGCAAATGTCAGGCGTCGAATCATTTTTTTCCCCTGAAACCTTTCTCCAGCGGCGAGCTCTTCAAAATACAAGGACATACCTTCACTTCTTACTCTCTCACTACATTCTGATTTCCGTACTTGAACGCTATGGCTCAGATTGATCAGATACTTTGCCGGCTGTCCATTCCGCTTAAAAAGAAAAGCCTTCAACCCAAAGAAAAACGAGAGAGAGAGATAGCAGGGGAAAAGAAACAATGGCTAAGCCACTTAGAGAGCTTGTTCCGTTTCCTGAACCACGCGCGAGTGGGTCCGCGATATGACGTTCGGAGCTCTCATTGCCACCGCACCATATCCATGCTGTGTGTGTGCATGTGTTATGCCGACATTCGTCAGCAAACCTTGCACGTTGTCTCCTCGATTTCTCATTCGGGATTACGACCTTGATGCGACCAAGTCTTAACAAACTGCCACTACTACTTACTACTATGCTAATAGCACCTCGCGTACAACCTTCTCTTCGCAGTTGAGAACAATGCTCTAGTGAAACATGCAAGCAGCAGAGTGGACTCGATCTACCTAACACACTGCATTGGTGGGTCGACTTGCTTCTCGATACCCGAATTATAATCTTAGGATCCGCGCACAGGGCACCCTCGATCTGGATCCTGGAACTGATCAGCTCAGCCTGTTTTGTCGGTCCATGCTTGCTATGTATTGTACAACTGGGCATTTGTCGATCGTCCATACCCAGTATCTATCGGTCCAGAAGATCCCGATGGAGGCAGCGGTAGAATTTGATGTGGAAAATCGGAGCGATGAATGATTGATTTTTTTTTCCAGTTCAGCTAGAAGATATCACACATTAGCCTAGACTGGGACTTCTGCCTGACAAGGACGATCGTATGCGTAGTGAATCCGCGAACGATAATGGACATTGAAGAACCCTGGTGATTCCTCTTTTAGCCCTCTGCGACCCTTTTCTCTGAATTGGTTTTCAAGCTGTGAAGTTCAAGCCCAGACTGGCAGACGCTGCACTCTATGGCGCCCCCTTGGAAGACAGAACTTCTAGCAGTCTTCTTCATACTTTGCGCGCTACCTCGTCTCGCGCAGGCCGCGACAAGCGAAGAATGGAAGTCACGATCCATTTACCAAATCGTGACAGACCGATTCGCCCGGTCCGACAATTCAACTGTTGCGCCATGCAATGCCGCAGCAGGTGAGTACTGCGGCGGCGACTTTCGAGGCATCATCAACAAGCTGGATTACATTCAGGATCTCGGATTTTCAGCGGTAAGTTCTCATCCCATCGTTATTCTCTATTCCTGGCAATGGATCTGTTCCCTTTCATTCCTTTTCAGTGTTTTGGGTCTTTGTTCCTTCCCTTCTTATCTTCTGGAAATGGTGACAAACAAGCCACGCCGCCTCGTGTTTGCGATGCGCCACGATGCCTCGTGACACTAACAGATGCAGATATGGATATCGCCCGTGACATATCCAGTCCAGCAAGACACCCCAGACCTGTCCTGTAAGTTTTTTCTCCCACGTTCTCTCTCACCTGCATTCTGCGTATGCAACCCGGACTTCTAATGCATCCAAATCCTTGCCCCAGCCTACCATGGATACTGGCAGCAAGACATTTACCGGATCAATCCTCGATTCGGCACACCTGACGATCTCAAGACGCTCTCTGATGAGCTCCATGCACGCGGAATGGTCAGTATCCACCCCCCTTCACCATCAACACCATTAACCGTATCTGATTGTTACCGTTGATCTCTGCCCGTTCTCCTCTCCAATTCTTCCCATGCTCACAAGTGCAGTATTTGATGCTCGACGTGGTGACCAATCATTTCGCGTGGGCTGGAAATTATACCACGATCGATTATAGCCAATTCCACCCGTTCAACCGCCAGGATTATTTCCACCCTTTCCGGCTTCTCAAGGACGACCCAGACAATGAGACATGCGTTATTGATGTAAGCAAGACCCATGGAATGAAGGATAAATTTATTGCTGCAGAGAAGAATTGCCTCCTAACTCTATTGACTGGTACCAGTGTTGGCTTGGAGATGAAATCGTGACGCTTCCTGATCTCAGAACGGAAGACAGCAATGTAGCGTCGACACTCTACTCCTGGATCGGCGAAATGGTCTCCAATTATTCGAGTCAGTATCCCCCTCTACATTGAACAAGATTCATGGGCTAGGACCAATTCTAACAGCTCGTCTTATTACAGTCGACGGCCTGCGTCTCGACAGCGTATTCAATGTCAATCAAGATTTCTGGCCAGGGTTCAATAAGGCTTCAGGGGTGTTCTGCATCGGCGAAGGAATTACAGACAGTGCATCATCCATATGTCCTCTCCAGTGGAAAATGGATGGTGTTTTGAACTACCCCATGTTTGTCTTTGCGATTTGCTACCCAACACCAAGGCTAAAAAGTGCTGACCGACAACTCAGGTACTATCGCCTTACCGGCACATTCAACAACACGAATGCGAATATGAATGATCTGCTCGAAGGACTGGAAGAGGTGAAGAGCGCGTGCAGGGTATTTCATATCTGTGATTCCATATGTCACATATAAATTAGTCAGTTGCTAATTCCCGAGGCGCACAGGATATCTTCACTCTGGGAATCTTCACTGAAAATCAAGACGTTCCACGATTTGCTTCTCAAACCCAAGACATATCTGTTCGTATCCCCCGAGCCAATCCCTCAATTGGTTCAATTCTGACATATCTCCGCCTCTAGCTAGCCCGAAATATTATCACTTTCAATCTTCTTGGAGACGGGATACCTATCCGTACGTGTTTATGTCAAAGCATAGTGTTTGCAATATTCAATTAACCAGGATTCTTTCCACAGTCTACTATGGCGAAGAGCTACACCTGCAAGGACCATACAACCCGGTCAACCGGGGAGCTCTCTGGCTGACCGATTACGCGACCGACACCACTTCCCTTCCCTCCCTCGTCCAGTCTCTGAATAGACTGCGCGCCCACGCCGCCGGCAACGGCACTCGATTCACTGAATCTTCACCCTCTTCCTCCCAGCAAAACGACTATCTCACATTCGTAACGTACGCAATCCACAACACCTCTCACACCGTTGCCCTGCGGAAGGGGTTTGCAGGAAACCAAGTTATAACCGTACTGTCGAACCTCGGTTCCCAGCCGAGCCGCGATGATCCAGAGACCTCGTTCACGCTCCCCTCCGCGGGGACAGGCTTTCACCCGAACCAGAACGTGACCGAGATCCTCTCTTGCCGGACTGTCCTGACGGACGGAGCAGGCAATCTCAACGTGGACCTCTCAGCCGATGGCGGGCCCCGAGTCTATTACCCGACCAACAGCCTCAACGGCTCCGGCCTCTGCAGCGACGAGTTGAAATCCAAATCGTCGGCGGCTTCGCCAGTCACATTCAAGCAACTCATATGGCTTACCGTTATGACGATGTTGCTATTCCTGATGACGGAGATGACTCTGATGTGATGATTTTAAAAAAAATCGGATATTGGATATGAATTGATTCTCGACATTTATATGTGCAACGTGAACAAAATGCTTGTGATGATTTAATATGGACACGTCATTTTCTTTCACGATAGATAGACAGGGCTATGTGATAGATTGGGGAGATATACACAGGGATATCATATGGACTCGTTTTCATTCTCTCTTTCTTCTTTCTTTTTTTATTCACTTTATTCTATTCCACGCCATATCTTATCGATTATTAGAAATCTAATCTGTTTTTCCTTTCTTTCTTCCTTTCTTCTTCTTTTTTTTTCCATTTTTCCTTTTTCTAACAGCAAGAAACTAGTCCATCACCAAGTTTCCTGCTTGTAGCGACCAATTTTCTCCATCTCTATCAGATACTGCTCCGCCTGCTCCCGGGTATACTTCGGCCCTGATGGGCTATCCTGCTGCTGGAAGCACTCGATCAACGCCTCTCGGATCGCCTGGGGCATCCTGCCCGAGGAACCGCAGATGAAGACCGATCCGGACTGGTCGTGCAGCAGGCGGAAGAAGAGCGATTTGTTCTCGCGGATCCGGTCCTGGACGTAGATCTTGTGTCGCTGGTCTCGCGAAAAGGCCGTCAGGACCTGCAGGTCGATGCCCCCGGTCTCCATGAGCTGCTTCCATTCCTCCTCGTAGAAGTAGTCTGCTCCCCGGTTGCGGCCTCCGAACAGCAGGATCATGGAGCCGATCGGTGGTGGCGGACCGTCCGGGTGCTTTTCGCGGTAAGCCTTCACGAGGGCGGCTTTCTCCCAGATCATGGCCCGCAACGGTGCGAGACCTGTGCCGGGACCGACCAGCACTGCGGGCCCGACGAGCTGTTGCAGCGTCGGCTTGAGCCCGCCTCGCTGAAGCTGGACTTTAAGGGTGCTGCCGGGCCGGAGCACGGCGAGGTAGCGCGTGCAGACGCCCTCGCGGATTTTCTTGATGACCGTCTGATACTTGACGATGGCGATCAGCAGCTCGAACTTGGTCCCGCTGCCGCCACCGTCCAGCGTGCATTTTTTGAGTTCTCCGCCACTTGCGATGCTGAACTGTCTCCCGCGCAGGACTGGAAGGACCGAGGTCGCATGCTGCCAGGGGATCTTCACGCTGTTAAATTCCTGCAGCACTTCCAGAATGCTCCGTCGGGGTCGGGTCGTGTAGTCCCATAATTCATCGATATACTCCGGGTTCGTAAACTCCAGTAAGCGTTCTTTATGGTAGTCATCGTTCGAATAATGATAAATGCTTGCAAAAAAAGACCGCCGGGGTATCGCTCGAATGTCCAGATATTCCGTGAGAAGAATGCGAAGGGTCAGATAGGGAGGTTGCGAAGAGGGGGAGGAAGGATAATAAGAAGAAGAAACCAAGTATGGGATGGGCGGCGGGGGAAGATCTTCCGTCTTGCCCCGTAGGCCGACCCCAGGGACAAACTCGATAGGCTTGTCTGCGACGTCCGTCCAGCCCATCATGTTGAGGAGCATGTCCACATCGGCGGGAAAGTTCTTCGGTGTGATCATAATCATGTCCCCGGGACCATAAGAGACCTGATCAGGAGTTGTCAAGCAGATGTGACGAACATCCTGCCAGTGGGTTGGCGGTGTAACACGCTTGTTCTCCGTCAACGTGACCGTCATCGTGTCAGGGATAGGCCGTGTGTCATGGTCAAGGCGATATAGGTTCGGGACGCCCCTTTGGGCGGGGACGTTCCCATCTTTCTGATCTGATTGAGGCGCCGCTTCCTCGACTGCAGGTGGAGGAGGGACGCCGTCCTGCTTCTCTTGCAGGATCCATTTCGGTGGAAGCTGAACATCATCTGGTATAGGATCCTGGCCTTCAGGGAGCGGATATTTCTCCAACAAGAACTTCCGCAGATCTAAAGACCATGGAAAGAAAGTACCCTCGAGTCTAACAACCGTTATTAGTTCCAAGCAGCATTGCGTCGTTCGTGAGAAAAAAAAAGACATACCCGTCAGGATGCCGTGCATCAGCCTCAGCAAACCGGAATACCTCATTCGCACCGAGCTGAAACAGCCTCTTGCGGAGTTTCCGTGCAGCCCAGTTGAACCTGCCGTCATCAGCAACTTGCATATATGATTGCAGAGGAAACCATACTTCGGATAGGAGCTGTCTCCCAACCCAAAGAGGGCAAAATTCACACCGTCCAAGAATGTAGGCGGCAGCTTCTTCAAGAGCAATGTCTTCCAGAACTCGCGAGCGTTGGCAGGGAAGTCGCCTTGTCCGGTAGTCGATACGACGAATATCGTCAAGACGTGGGATGACAGTGATTCCTAAATAAAAAAAAGCAAGATAAAATCAGCATTTGCATTACCACATTATTGCCATTTAAAAAATGAGGAGAAAATGAGAGGAAAAAGCAGGAAGGCCATTTTTTTTTACTTACGGCTTTGGCAGCATTGAACTCGTACACATGTGTTATAAAATGCAACCGCTCCACAAGCTGGCCCAATTCCTCCGCCACCTCCTGGGCGTTTCCCGTCTCTGAGCCATAGAGAATGAGCGCCGTCCTCTTCCCCGAACGTGACTGGTCATTCCCACCGTCGGCGCTCATCCTGCTGGCTGCGTGGGAAACAAAGAAAAAAAAAGTTGGCGATTCAATGTTAGTAACGAGAAGGGAGAGAGATGCGAATCATGCGAATCATGCGATGCGCCGCCGGTGTCGGGGACGTTTGAAGTCGGTAATCAAATCTCATTTGCGGAAATCGGGCGTGACGTCACGTTATTTGGTGGGGACGTCTTTTTTTGCAAATGCCAATTCATGTACTTGGTAATTAATAAGGTTAATAATAAGGATCAAAAATGGATCTGTACTGATTGCTCCGTTATTTTTAATTGATCAGAGGCTATTTTTGGAGATCGACGATCTGATAAGCGGTGAGATTTTTTTTGATAGCTGCAGAACCCCGCGGACCCCGCCATCATCTCAGTTCACCCAAATTGAAATGTGAAAAGTCAAGGTTCTTCATTTTATTAAGAAAAAAAATAAGATGTTGTCTCCATCTAAGAGTGCAGCAAGCCCCGTCTTTGCAACTCGAATTGTTCCTCACTCTACTCACCGGTGCACTTTACTGCGGCCCGATCGCAAAGTAGAATCAGAGTAGATTAGGTGGCTACTGAGCGTCCCATCTTAGAATAAGATCATAACAATTGCAAGGAGTCCCGTATTTCTATTCTCATGCAAATCAAGAATAACACGCTTAAATCGCCGCAGAAAGAAAAGGGGTATCTTGTTTGACAGATCCAGAATCGAATCACTAAAAAGTTTCCTCATCTCCACCTCCACCACCGCCATCCGCAAACGCATCCATATCAGCATCGTCATCACCAGCGTCGAAGTATTGCTCTGCATTATAGTCGCCACCCATCTCGTCGTCGTCTTCTTCGAAATCGTCATCTTCGAGCTCGTCCCGCTCTTCGTCCTCGTCCAAATCTCTTTCCTCGTCGGTTCTCCTCCCCTCATCCTCGTCTTCGTCCTCGCCCTCATCAAGCTTGCGACGCTTGGCCATCTCCTCCTCATCTTCCTCCTCCTCGTCGTCCTCAAACCCACGCTTGAATGAAGGTTTCTTAAACGCGTCGATGCCGTACAAGGAGGAATCAGGTTTGTAGTTGGGCTGAATAGTACGCCACAGCTCGCGCGGGAAAAAATTCAGGGCTGTAATTGATTTTTTCGAAACCCATGTTAGAAGTCTTCTGGTTTGAAAAACGTGTGGGAGAACGACAAATCGGGCCCGGAAACTTTCACTCACCATATTGCCGCCCCTGCAACTTCGGCAGCACTCTCTTCTTTTTCTGGTATTTTTGGGAGTAAGAAGGCATCCCATGGAAGGCATCGAATAGAGCTCGTGCGGCACTGCCTTTCTTTGCTGACGTCCGGGCGGCATCGAGCACTGTATAGTAGGGACCGTCGTGGAAGCGCTCTCTCAGCGCGCGATAGCGATCGACCTCGGATTGCTCACGAGGATGCAGCCTATCCGCCTTGGGAATGTCGTATTTCTGACCACTAGTCAGCATTCTTGCGGCAGCATTCGACATCGTAGTAGGTAGCCCCCGACCGGGGCAAAAATGGACTGAGAACGTACGGGGAAGAGAGGGGTGGGAGCGTTGTCGGGTTCCCCGCCGGGTTCAGCGCTCCAGGCGTACTCCGCGCCAGGGGCCTTCTTGCCATTCTTCCCACCGAATCGTGACATGCTCGATTGGTCGAGGTGACACGGCGATGACGGAGTTAGTTAGATCAACTGACGGGAGGAACGGGAAGCGACAGAGAGTTAAGTGGCAGGTCTTTCGGAGCTCCGACTCCCTGGCAGGAGGGGGGAGAGAAAGGTCAGGAAAGAACAATTTATTATTGTAATTTCTCCTGAGACATTATTTTTCTTCTGGAAGGGAAGATAGAAAAAAAGTTATGATGTTTGCATGCCGCAACTGCCACTTTCACCGCCTCCGCCTAAAACGGTAACTAGGGCATTACCCTAGAGAACCAAAGAAGGATTAGCGCCAGATGAGGTACTTGGTATAATTGAACTGCCATTCAACATGACAATGCCACGAAATCTATTTATTTATGAAAGAGTGAGGGGAAATTAAATTATCCGTATGGTGGCATTCTGCACACATGCCTAGTATATATCGTACACGCAAGACCCGGCCAGCAGGTTTTTTTTCTTTTTTAGTGGCGTAGTATGTTTAAGACAAGAACATGAAAGCATTAATAATATATACCAGTCTACAGCAGCATTTCTATAGGCACATAACACATAACCGCGGATTCCATAACCTACAGCTGGACTGCATCCACTCGGCTTCCAACTTCAGTTGCTGGGCCCTTGGGACCATCCCTGACACGCTGCTCCAGAGTCCGTACAATGTCTGCGAAGCCTTCTACTTGAACAGTTGACCCCTTCAGCGCATTATACAAGGCGACCAGCGCATCATACTTGGCGGTGGCAATCCGCCAGACTGCGCTCTCTGTATCCCCCGCGCCGCCTGCGACGAAATTGGCGTATGACTGCGGCGGTTTGAAAAGATACGGGAGGACAGTGGTCAACGCCGGGGGAGCCAGAACAGCCCAGGAACCAGAAGTAGGGAGTACTCCTGATGTGGCAGACGACAGCCGGTTGAGTTCATCTTCAGATGGGAGCTTAAAGGTGGCGTCTGCAGATATGGTTTGAGGCTCTTCCGGTGACAGGGTTCTCCAGTTAGCCGTGATGACAGCTTTAATCACCCCAATAGCTGCCAGCGCCACGTCCTGCATTGCCACGATATCAGCAGTAGTGACAATATGTTGCCAGAAGTTTGCATGCTCGTTCAAATAGGTGAAGTAGAGTATCCGTGCCGCGACGGCTTCCTTGTGCGAATCCGTCGGGGCTCCGGTAACAACATTCAAAGAGGGATCGTTCTCCGATTTCTGTGGTCCATGGAAAATTCGCGCCAATGTGTTGAGACAGTCCTTGTTCGCAGGATTGCTGGGCACAGCCTGGAGGGGGCTCAGAGCCCGTCTGCTGGCGTCGACAAGCAGAACACGAGGGAGAGAGGACAACACAGTCAGGTCACCTGTCGGTACCGTTCCGTGCGCCCACTGAGCAGACGGGATTGACAAAGCTCGGTGAATCCTGGTCAGAATCCGTTCCAGCACTTCGCGTGGGCTCTGCAACAGATGGTTAGGATACAGTTGTGCGTATTGTGAAACGTACGCCATGATCGGATTAGACAAAAACATGGCGTCAACAGAATCGAGTGTTGATGCATCGAGATAGTATCCCATTATCATCTGGTGTATGTTCTGCTCCATGAGGAAATCCAGAGCCCGTGAGGAAAAGGGCGAGGCTGAATAGGAGCGATTGGGAATTTCCAGGCCAGGCGCATCAATCCGTATCAGCTCACGAAAGAAATTCAGTTGAGTCATGTGCATCAAGACATCGCCAGTGTCAACCATTCGACAAGCGACAAAATGCAGCAGGTTGCTGCTCCGATACTTGGACTCGATTTCCGGAACCTGGGAGCTTGTGATTGTGTCCCAACGAAGAGCGCCAGCTTTTACCACAAAGTCCATTAATCGTCCTTGGGCCACGGTCTTTTCACGTTTTGAGAGCTGACCGGGCCGCCCGGCATCAAGAAGGCTACATGTCGAATACAAGAGGCCGTAGATATCCTTGTCAGTGAACAGTCTCCTCCACATCAGGCCCTGTCCTTTTGCCGGCTCTTGCGTGCCATTGCTGCCATTCTCAGTCTTCGGTGAACCGGTATGGTCCACTTCCAGCAGCGACCAAAGGACGTCGAACGCAGCCTGGGCAACCTCTGTCGAAGATGTCGACAGCCACACCTCCACAAGAGAGGCCACTAGATCAGAGTTCCCAGCAACAATCGCTGCATCTCCGGGAGACCTGCTTGCCTTTCCCAGGAGAGACAGAGCTAGCAGGTTGATAGGTGGTGAGGGCGCCTTGATTCCCGCGACAAGGTTAACCGGAGGATCAATGGACTGGATTTCAGAGAACGTGAGAAACGCCGTAGATTTGATGCCCAGTGTTGTCAGCGGAGTCGGATCCTCGCGCAGAACTGGGAGAATCTGTGAGATTTGAGTGATGAGCGACACAGGCACTGTACGATCTGTGTTTTCGGTGATCTCAAGCTTCAGCTTCTCGATGGCGGGGACATCCAAGGAGACGGAGGGGTCTGCGAGGATGTTATCGAGGTTTTTCTTCACCGCTGAATACGACGATGGAACCGCCATGACCGCGAAGTTACCAAAAGAGAACTTCCCAAGGACCTATAAAGGACTACTTTAGAAATAGAGGAGCTCAACTCACCAGCATGGGCAAGCAAGCTTCTAGAAAGCTATGCGGGGAGCTCTCTGTAATGTGTGCAAACAAGGCAAACAACAGGCAGGCGGGATGGCCTTCTCCGCAGTATAGCCGGTCAACAACGTTATCGCAGCAGACGAACTGCGATTCTTGTCTAAGAACGTCGTCACCTCCGATAACCAACATGGCAGAGAGTTCTTCGAATCCGCTGATCTCTTCCAAACCGTCAGACTCCGGTCTTCATGTCCAACTGCATCCTCTCGTCCTTCTCACCATCTCCGATCATATCACGAGACATACTGCGAGGCAACAACAAGACCCTATTGTCGGGGCTCTGCTCGGCCAGCAGCAGGGCCGGGAAATAAGCCTGGAGTATGCATTTGAATGCCATACAATTACCGGCCCTAACGATGAGATCCTTCTCCACCAGACATGGTTCGAGGAGAGGGTCAAGCAATGTACGACAAACCACCGAGCCAGCATGAAGAATTCCTGAAAGAGATACTGACGAGTTCTGGAAAACAGACAAGGATGTACATAAATCCCCGGCGCTCGATTTGGTTGGCTGGTTTACTACTACTCCTCCGTCCGGCCCTGATGCTTCTCACCTTCCCATCCACCGGCAGATTCTCCACGACTACAATGAGTCCGCAGTGTTCCTGGCATTCCACCCATCCCTGGTACAGTCGCCCTCTACGAACGGGGCCAAGCTTCCCCTGACAATTTATGAGAGTGTTTTTGAGGGGGAAAATGTGGCGGACGCAGATAAGGTCATGCAGGTCGATGGGGAAGAACAGTCGTTAAATATCCGGTTCCGAGAGTTGCCGTACTCCGTAGAGACGGGAGAGGCGGAGATGATCAGCATTGACTCTGTCGCTCGAGGTGGAGGGAATGCTATGGCCATCGAGGCTCCTGGGGCCGCTGCCACGACCGAAGCTCAGTCGGAGGCGGGCAAAAAGAAGCGGCATGCAGGCGCCACGGAAAAGGCCGATGGCAAGCAGAAGCCCCAAGAAGCTACTTCCGTACTGTCCCCAGAGGACGAAGATTGTATGTTGGATCATTTCCTCGGTGAAAGACCCATATTGATAGCTGACCGATTTCTGCCTTGTAGTGATTGCCAGTCTTACTACGCGACTTAATGCGGTGAAAACGTTGGAGTCCCGGATACGTTTGATAAAGTCATACCTGGCCAACCTGCCGCCATCATTTCTCGACGGCAGCGGCGTTCAATCCGACTCAAAGGATACCAACACCCCAGGCCTCTCATATCCCATCCTCCGCAACATCCAATCTCTTATCTCTGGGCTGTCGCTCTTGGCTCCTCAGGACGAGGAAGCATTCGCCGTCGAATCCCTTGCGCAGGAGAACGACGTCACCCTGGTGTCCCTGCTAGGACTCCTCGGGGAGAACGTACAGCACATGAGAGAACTGGGCAAGAAATCCGCCATCGTGGAATCCACAAGACAGAGCATGGCCTCCTCCCGAAAGGCCCTTCAGTCGCGGTTCGAAAATGAGCTCCGAGAAGGAGCCTTCCCGGGAGCCATGCACGTATCGTGATTGGAAAGGGAATAGCATATTTTGTCATCGATCACTGGATGAAGTTTCTTTTTTTTGTCCTCCTTTACGATATGCTGTTGTCACGGAAATCTCAATTACGAATGGCGTTTCTGGCGTATATCTTTTTCCTTTTTTTTTTCTCTTACAGGGAATAGATTCTAAGATTTTACGACTAAGCAAGCTAGCTGGTATTGATGTTTAAAAAAAATACCCCAGTATGACGAGGGAACACGATAAAGATAGATGCAGATGCAGATGAAGGTCAAGTTGCTCAACAGTTATATCCTTTTTTTGTACAACCAAATGAATAAGATCATGATGATGATGGTGGTGGTGTGTGCTAGTATGTAAACCGCGCTAATGTATATAACCAACTCCTTTTTTCTTCGTTGTGCTAATGGCATGACTGCCGACTTTATTTTTTTGGCTAACCTATATACCTACTACTCCCTAATGCGATCTATCCAGGTACGTATGTAGGTAGGTGCTGATACTTGATATATATAATTTTTTGGTTTTGAAATTCTTGAATTTGAGCATTTTTGCCGAGCTCGGACCAGCCTCACCTTAGAATTCAACCTGCTAAACCTGCTGCGAGTAAAAAAAAATATACATATATTCATAACATAAGCCCAGGCCGTCAACTTAGATCTCGACCAAAAAAAAATAGAAGAAGAAGAGGAAGAATAAGAAAGGGAGAAGGAAAGAAAACCCCCAGACCAAAAAGGAAGTCGACGCAATCCCAATCCTCTTGCCAGAAACCGGGTAACAAACAGTGTAAACAACCATCGAAGCTACACAACCACAAACTCCCAATGCATACCCAATACACACACACACGTGTCAGGAAAGCAAATAAGTCTTAGCACCAAGATATGACTGAGAGCTGACAAGCAATGCCAATTGAAATCCGTGCACGAAGAAAGGAGGGAGAGAAAAAAAACAAGGGATATCATGTACAGAAACCCATCAACGGTCAAACAAATGAAGTCAGGAAGAAGAAGTGTCCTCCCGAAATAAATATGAAAGCATGACATAAACATCGCTGCCAGCACGGTCTCAGAATGTACAATGCTCGTTATCGTATCCGATTGTTGTGATCATGGTCGTCCGGCGGTGGTGGAAGATACGGCGCTGGCATATGCCTGGCTGGGGGCATAGGTACCTCTTCAGGGTGATAGCCTGGCGGATATACCCCTGTCTGCGATTGCTCCCGTCCGTCTAGCGGAGCTTGATAAGGACTATGATGCATGCTATACGGTTGGTAAGGTTGAGGGGAAACAGGTCGAAGGTTTGTGAAAGATCCGTCGTCGTATGGATGACTGTAGAAGCGCCCATTGTGTTCCTCCTCATAATAAGTTGAGGCCAATCCGATGTCGCCAGACGAGTGCGATGGGTATGATGAAGATGGGTTTGGTTGTGCATTGGACAGAAGCTCTGCGCCCTCTTCGTCGGGGGAAGCCTGATAACCGCGACCTGGTCTGCTAGATGCGAGAACACCACCTGCGCCTTCGTACGCGGTGACATTCGGCCCGGGGATGCTTGTTCCCGGAACACTTCCGTCTGATGGTTTGAGCGAGTAAGATCCTTCAGTGTGACCCATGTAGCTGGGATCTTGCATCCTGTATTTCCGACCAACGAATAGCCACCGGACGCCACGGCCCAGTGCCTTCACCAAATCCCAAGGGTTAAGCGCATCAATAAAAGCCTTTATTCCTAGCGGTCCCCCGTGATAAGCAACCTTGCCTCCAACGTACTCGGGATGCTCGCCGGCCTGCTGGTTGGCAAGGGTATAGGGCCGCCATGGGAAAGCCCAGAGGTGCAGAATCGAGAACATGGCCATCTCTATGCAGATAAGCAGGTTCGGAATTCCAATCTTCAGGTCCTGCGTCCCCACTTTCTCACTAGCACTGATGGCGCCGGAAGAGGTAAGGAAGGAGATCACAGTCTATGATAAGAGGTTAGTCACATCGTTTTCCAAAGTGACAAGCTGGTGCACCCACACTCTGCCAGAAAGACAGGAAAATGACCAGTTTAATGGCGAGGATCTTCAAGAAAGGCGAGTATTGCGCAACATCATGACGGATCTGAAAGTAGAATTGAATCAGGCAGTACATTGCAATTGAGACAGCGATAGACTCGATGACCAGGGTCTGCGGCAACAATTAGTGACATGCCGGAGATATCCAGGACACCCTACGCACCCAGACATGTGAGAACACCGGACTCAAGGACTCCTCGCAATATCTGCCTGCTGCCTGGGTTGCGACGGCGACAATGGTCATGGCGACACGGATAAAACAATACTGGTAGATTGAAATCCAAATCACCTGCATCGATGATAATGTCAGCTACAGACGAGGAGCCTCCAGGGGAGTCCAGCTCACGTTGAACCAAGTCAACCCGCTCCTGGGTGTTCTCCAACAGCCTCTTTCCCCACCACAGCACTTTTGGAGCCAAGACACAGGGAAGAGCCATTTCTTCGGTCGGATCCCGCGAAAATATTCCTTTTGGCTGTGCAGATCGGGGGCGATGTAGTGACAAAGCAGGGTAAAGAACGCAGAGATCGCGAAAGCTTCGTAGCAGTCACCGATGACTTGGAAATACACGGATTTCCGGTAGAACCAGAAGCACAGGAAAGAGACCATACAGTAGATGGGAACCATGCAGAGGATACGGATGATACTGTTGAACAAGCACACGATTTATTAGCAATTAACGTCTCCAAAAACCAACAAGTCCATCCGTGTTGGGACAGCGTCGGAGGAAGGGGAGGAGACTATACTGGCGCTGCTCTCGCGGTTTGCTGTAGTGTAACGCATGGTTAAAGATCAAAAATGTCGAGAATGCGATCGCGACGAGGCCGAAGGCAGCGCACAGGATGAGACCCAAGGTGTGGAAAGTGATGCCGCCATCCCAGAGGGCAACTTCGGAGACTGTTCCACGTGTCGGTCAGCATCTTCATTGTGCACCATAGCCAGGCAGGAGAATTCATCACCGCGCTCCGTACTTTTGACATCTTCCAGGGTCGTATTGCACGTCGTCCATGATGCCGAAAACCTTGGCTGGAGAAGATGCATCTTCGCTGATGGTGAAAGAGAAATTATTGAAAGAAAGGGAGGAGTCAGCCCGCCCGGGGCGCAGGAACTTCTATCTTATCCGCCGTGGCTGCACAAATTTAGCAGCGGACGACAACGAAGCTAAGCCGCCAGGAGCCCGACGGCCACGCCAACAGAGTCGGAGACTATTGTCAATATTAAACAAAAAAAAAAGGGTCAGGAAAAGAGAGCAATGATCGTATGCAACCTTGCGATCGGAAGTTCCCGAGCAGGTTCCAGACAATTCCAAGTCGTGGTTCAGGAGAGCAGCTGGCCCGCCACGACATAACAGGAATATTTAATAAATGAGCGAGGCAGGAGAGAACGCGAAACGAGGCCGTTACGAACGACGGCGCAGATCCTCGCCTTATAGGTTTGGTTTACTCTAGAGGGCGGAGCCAGCAGCACTGCCGGCACTTCAGGCGCTAAGGAGGTGAGCGGTCGCGGTGATGGTTGGTAATGGAGCCGCTGACGGCTGTGGCTGTGTTGTGTGCTCCCACTACAGTGGTGAATTATTAACAGTTACCTGGGTAGGCAGTCTGTAATACTGTACGTGCATATATAATTTTATTCTGGTCCGAGTCTGTGTCCAGCAGCACTGAGAAGACTCAGAAGATCGGGCCTCCCAGCCATTCTTTCGGAGTCGCAATTATCGCCTTGTGCAGAAGTCAGCTGGCGATCTTCCACAACAACGCTGTTCTTTTGACTCCGGAGATTATTACGTTCCTGCGCGAGGCTGGAACGAGTGTCAAGTAGCTTTCTAAGCTTACGGAGTAATAGCTTGGCTGTAGCGAATTCTTATGAGGTGGATCCAACGTCCCTGGCAAAGCACGCCAAGCCTGCTGCGTAGAAAAATGTCATTCTTACTGCTTTCTCATCACATTATTTTTGGGCCTCTGCAAATCTCAGTAATATACTAATCATACAGGAAAATTAAATGTAATCATAGACTATTCTCGTTAGCATAACAAGCAAAAGAAAAGAAAACGCCCATGGATTGCCACAGGCAGGAGGAGTGTTCGCGATTCCGCGAAATGCCAGGACCGCTCGAGTCACCTGCCAAGCTGGGGTAACCATATTAGAATTCTCCCTGCAATGGAGATAAAATCATTCAATTCTTAATAGCCCCGGCCTCTCCACGATCCGCCTCCTCGGCGTCTCCCTCCACGAGCAGGCGGTCCCCCGTATTCGGGGCCATTGTCAACGAACGCATCGCCATCCTCGAACGTAATCCGTCTCATTTCGTCACCGCCGCGACGTCGGGGACCTTTTCTTGCCAAGGTAGCGAACTGATCCAACCGTCTCTCTGCCACGTCCCTAGGGACAGGGAGATAGTACAGTTTGGGCTTCGTTTTGGTGGACAGGAACCGGTCATCGAGAGCTTTGAATCCCTCCCCACCTCGAGTTCGTGGTGCACCGGAAGCCTGGCTACCCCGCCGGTGATCCATGTCGATGCTCCCGCGCGGGCCAGGAGGCGCTCTCGGCGCAGTTTGCCCGCCGTCGCGTCCACGACTGGGCGCAGATGCGGTGGTCACGGTTCGAGACTCTCGTAGAACTGCTTCTACACCGTTCTCGGTCTTTTCGTACACAACTTCCCAGCGTGGCCCGCCACGACCCCGGGATTCTGATTCCTGTTCGATGCTGATCCATTCCCTCAGCTTGTCCTCCGGTACGAAGTCGATCCATAGAGGCTTCCGGTCACGCTCATTGGGCCAGACAGTGCCATGCAGTGCAGATCGGACCCTCGATGCGGCGGACACACTGGTAAAGCGAACAAAGCCATGTGTCTTGATCGAGTCAAGAAAGAACTCCAGGATGATATCAGGGTTTGGAGAGGCTCCTGCAGGAGAAGCGAGGGATATCAGATAGTTTTTAAGGGTGGCGGGTTGAAGGGGTCTCATGAAATTGCGAATGTAAATTGCAGAGGTGGCTGGATGTAGCGCCGGTTCAACCTGCCGGTCCTCATCCTCACCTATGCCGGCAGTGCGTCCAGGTGAGACTGGCCGTTTTCTCTCCTCAATGGGGGAAAAGAGTTCTTTGAAGCGGGGGTCTTGTCGTGTGGCAGGGGGAGCCGCCCCTTTGTTTCCTTCTGCCTGCGATAGGGAACTCCGTCTAGCCTCTCTGTCCATATCTTGGTCATCAATGTCCGTTTTCGATCGCTGAAGATCACTCTCGGCTACTGCCTCTGCAGGATCGGCGCGAATATTATCCTGCACCACGGTTTGATGGTCATCCACATCAGCGGAGCGCTGGGGAAGATTCTCGGCGCCGACATCCTCCTTCAGTATCACCCGTGGATTTTCGTTATCCGACTTAGCTCTCTTTATCGTTTCAGAGGAAGGAGGAGGGCTCGGGCTACGTCGCTTTCTTTTGCGCAGGTCATCAGCGACTTCAGAGACAGACGTGGGCGGCTCGTGGCTCATTGCTGCTTCTGCAGAGGGCTGAGAGACTACTATGGTCTCTTCGACTTCTGGCTTGTCAGGTTCTGCGGCGTCTCTGCCCACGTGTGTGGATTCTTCTGCAGGAGGCTCAGAGATGACTCGTTCGTCGAGCTGAGGGACAGCTCGATCATTCACGGCTTTTTCGTCAGCTTCGGCGTCTACCGCAGTTTCCTTCACAGGCGCAGATTCTTTTAATGATGATTGCAATTGTTCAGCCGCTGAAACGGCTTCTTCCTGCTGCGACTCGGTGACATCGTTGGTCTGCTGAGCTTCACTCTCATCCTGGTGGGCAGGGGAAGGCTCCTCTGCCTCTATTCTATCTTCACCCTCCTGGTCGTCCGTACCTTCTTGCGCCGGCACGCCATCTCCAGTGACGACTCCAGTCTGCGCTAGCGCGTCCAACTCCAGCAATTTGTCAATGAAGTTCTGTTTGAGCTTCAAGCCCGTCTGCGGGATGCCGCGGCGTTTCAATTCCGCCTTGAGATCGGTGACCTTCCATTTGCTGTAATCAGCCATCGTGAAACAGAGCACCTATCGGCATGTGCATGGGCTCTGCAAGTTATGGCTTCCTATGTAATGATGGCAAGCAGAGACGTGGTGATGTCAGGAACCTGTCGCATTGTCATTGCTAGGAGGGTTGGTTGCAGTCGGGAAGCCGCTGCGCGACCTAACTCGGCCGGAGCTGCATATGCGAGTCGACGGGGCGAGCCCCATGATGCGGAGGGTCCGTCTGGCAGTGTTCCGCTAAGCCGTATGCGGACTAGCTGGGTCCCGTGCTCCGCTGAGGTTAAACGCGCGACCGACTGCCTAAGCTGGTAAATATCCAGTCAACCCGACTGCTCGCTCTACGCCGGTCGATAAAATGTTACCACTCTGCCGGGTGATCAACAGGATAACCGTATTTATCTGTTTCCTGTGCGGCTTTGCAAGGAATGTCACTCTATTCGAGTCTCTATGAAGCATCACGATCTGTGGAGACTAAGCTGTAGTCACTACTGCTGTCATAGACTAACAAGATAAAGACCGAGAAAAATCACAATGAATGACATCTCTTCATCCAGCTGAGATCATTCTTCCACGCTCGTGCTGATAGCCGTCATATCCAAACCGTGACTGCCACCACAGACTCATCCGCGACACTCTGAATAGAGCGCTGGACTCGATCAAGAACGTTTCCATCTCCTGGTCACCTCTCAATACTGCCAGCCGGAGGGCGGATGGAATGCCCAGGTGCAGCCGTCGGTTCCACGTGAGCTCGACTCCAGAATCAATGAGTAACTGTGCCACTAAGAGATGGCGATGCAGGATGGCCCCGTACAAAGCCAGAACTCCAGCCCGCGATTTGAGCGCACTGGGTTTTATGCCCTCCTCAATGAGAATCTTCAGAATTGTCGGATCACCCGTTTTGCAGTATGTGAACGCGGCATATTGGAGGGTCTCTGGACGAGTCCTCACCGCACCTTTCTTGAGCAGCAACTTGACTAGAGCCGCAGAGTTGCCACTAACCGCATAGTCCAACGCTGTTAGGCCAGTAGCTCCAATCTCTGCTGACACTGCCGCGCCGCTCTCAATCAGAAGCTTGGCCACGCCGACCTGGCGATGTCTCGTAGCGACGTGCAGGGGTGTGTGCATTAAACAGTCGATTATCGAAACGTCTGCTCCCTTCTCGAGAAGTCGATAAACCATTTCTTCCCGGCCAAGTTCGCTAGCGAGATGAAGCAGTGTTCTGTGCACTCCCTCACGAAGCTGGTTGCCAATTATGGGAGAATTGTAGCATGAGTGGTTGGTGTATACCACCCGTTGGTTGTTGATGTCGCTAGTACGCTGTAGCATCTCGAGGAACGCCGGTAAGTTGTTGGACCAAATTGTCTTCGAGAGGTACCGAGGCCAGCCATGGTACTTAGAATCAAGTTCATGAGCCCGTTCGTAGATTGCCTTGCCGCCGAGGATGTCTTGAAACCGTCGGGATACTCGAGCCCATGAACAATGGTCGTACAAATCAAGATAATCTGCAATAAGAAGAACGAGTTCCACAGGAAGTGTTACCAGAGACATTAGAGGCAGAAACCAATGAGGATAACGAAATGAATTCAATGTATGTATGAGATAGAGGGTTTGAAGCCTGTTTATTGGGCCTCGTAAATGAGAGAGTGAGGAAACGATTGAATTCCGAGCAAGTAGAAGAGAAATATGTGGAGCGAACGACTGATGATGAACGAGCGTATAGGATCGCGCAAAATATAAGCTAATATGAGGTCACGATTGCTATGTGGATTGATGTGAGAAAGACAACAGATCATTTCAAAGAGAACTCTACATAAATGGCGCTTTTATCAGAGTAGGTACCACGGAGTAAACAAACAAGCTTTGGACTCTTCGTGGATACTTTGGAGGAAACCGCGATGGTGCTTAGTTGCTTATGGCATCAGCAACCATCGGCGATGACCTGCCCGCGCGCAAATGTAGCATAGACGCATTGAACTTGGCACATGGTCCCGGGACATGTTGCGAAGAAGGAATTGACACGATAGCACATACAGATCTTAGTAGCAACAGGGCTCTATACATGTAACAGGTAGGATCTAGGTGGTCTGGAGGCGCTGCTTAAAATTTGAAGGCAAAGAGACGAACTCTAGCGATATATCCTCGAAAACAGCTACACTGACGACTCCACCTACTTATTATATAACAGCGCCGTTTTATTAAAGTCCAAAGTCCTCACAACGCAGAAGAAATCAACAAGAAGATGCCTGTCGTTGAGGTTAGGCTGCGGATAACTTATAACTACGGAGTAACTAAGAGCCCTTGCTGACGTAATCCGTATCTTATCCAACACACCGCCCGTTCGTCCGCAAATTTTATTCTGCCGGAACAAATTGACAACGCTGGTTGGTCAATGGTGACGCCACCCACTCTCTCCGACGGCCGGCGGTCTCGATTCTTTCAGCTTCCCCGCCGCCCTGAAGAGTCATTCTCTTCCCAATTCTTTGAATGAATTAATTGTCCTTTTGCTCTTCGGCCGTATCGTTCGAAACTCCGGTCGCAATGACTAAAAACGAAGGAGATGGCGCCTTAGGCCCTTACAAATACAGTCAGTTACCACCCCTGTCATCTATTTTATATCTAGACTAGATTGGTTTTGGTGAACAGCAACTAAATCCCGTAGAGAGGGTCGATTCCCAACCTGAAAACCCGTTCTCAAAGCTCATTTCGGATCAAAAAATCGCCATTATCCCATCTTTCACTCTTGAGTCTGGGGTCACTCTATACAATGTCCCAGTAGCTTATACCACACGGGGTCAACTATCCCCGAATGGTGACAATGCACTGGTCGTATGTCATGCACTGAGCGGCAGCGCTGATGTCGCAGACTGGTGGGGTCCGTTGCTCGGAGGCCCTGGTCAAGCATTCGATGTAACTCGATTTTTTGTCGTGTGTCTGAACAGCTTGGGCAGCCCATACGGGAGCGCGAGTGCTGTTACATACAAAGATGGTGATCCTGCAAAAGGCCGGTACGGGCCTGAGTTTCCGTTGACGACCATTCGGGATGATGTGAAGTGAGTGATAACATGACTGAAATATAGTTGGAGTACTATACTAATCACTGCGCGAAAATAACAGCATCCACAAACTGGTCCTGGATGATCTAGGCGTCAAGCAGATCGCAGCCGTCGTAGGAGGATCCATGGGAGGAATGCTCACCCTTGAATACGCATACTTTGGCAAAGAATATGTTCGTTCGATTGTCCCCATTGCCACTTCTGCGCGTCACTCTGCCTGGTGTATTAGCTGGGGTGAGGCACAGAGGCAGGCGATTTACAGCGATCCAAAATACGAAGATGGGTATTACTCGTTTGATGATCCTCCAGCAACGGGGCTGGCTGCAGCACGCATGTCTGCCCTTCTCACTTATCGGAGCCGGAACTCCTTCGAGTCTCGCTTTGGCAGAAATGTGCCTGACCCATCAAAACACCAAAACATCCATGGCATGAGCCGGCTTCCTACTCCACCGAACGAGCATTGGGCTGTCCACAACGATGGACATAAAAGCACACGATTATCGCGCCCTCCCAGTGAGACTGACTCGCCTAGTCAACCGACGGAGATCAAGTACACGGACCCCCAATTTACTGGTACCACTACCTACACCGCATCAGTGTCTTCTACAAATACCGCGAATTCGACGAGCTCGAAGCGACCAACAACCTACTTCTCCGCACAATCATATCTCCGCTACCAAGGGGAAAAGTTCGTTAAGCGCTTTGACAGCAATTGTTATATCGCCATCACCCGCAAGCTTGACACGCACGATGTGTCAAGACATCGTGTTGACCCCAATTCGCCGAACCCAGTCAAGGATGCGTTGTCACAGATTCAGCAGCCCGCACTTGTTATCGGTATCGAAACCGATGGGCTCTTCACCTTCGAGGAACAGAAGGAGCTTGCAGCTGGAATTCCAAACTCGCGTCTGAAGCGAATCGACAGCCAGGAAGGTCACGATGCCTTCCTGTTGCAGTTCGAGCAGGTTAATCGGTTCATTCTCGAGTTTTTCCGAGAAGTGTTACCAGACATCATGAATAAACCAGGTGTAGAGGGCAGTGACGCGCCCGATCGTGTAGGGAAGCTGACAAAGAGTAGCACGTTTGGTGAAGCGGAGGTCGAAGATATTACCGCTTGGTAGTAGCTGTGAACGCGAGAGGATCAAGGTACACACTATCTCACCGGCGGATATCTGATTCTCCCGTTTAGAGCGTCTGGTGATTGTCGCTCGAGAGCAGCCGGCGTGGCGTCTTCGCAGAGAAAGAGGTACTCTGCATGGGTCGACCAGGGACATGAGAGGTGTCCATTGAGGATATTGAAGGAGAAGTGGTTTTAACTTCTACTGATGAGAGAAGAGCATCCAACTGCCTCTCTTTCCTGTGCAATCTGCGCACACCTTTAAAGGAAGCATCCAACTGCTCTCCATCACAAGGTCCTTTGATCCGGCTCGTTTTGCGTCATGCGCGAGTCTATGAGGATGATGAGTAATGATTTTTTTTGTCCCCATTAACTTATTATATTTTTCTAGATAGAAACTTTCAGCCTTGTCAATAGTGGGATTGAATAAGAGATGAGAAACATGGAAACATCTCATTATCAATTATGGTGCAATAAATGTCTCATCCGATGTGCCAAGGATGACTCTGCAGTTTGCCAGCTATTCACTCGGGTCAGAAGATATGCTGAACCAGAGAAGTTATGGCTACGAGGATACAATGGAACCTCAGATAAGGCTTTTGAGCTTAATGTTGCTTCTATTGAATGAAGACTACGTATCTATTGTCCTTAGTGGCCCATTCTAATGAAATTTTCACTGGTCCTCGTCAGATCTTTTTGTTTGACTATTCACCACGACAAACGATCTAAGTATGCCAGCCTATTATTTGGGATGCAAGGACATCTATTTTCTATTATTCTGAAAGTAACAGTAGTAGTCACCAGATAAATATAAATATGAGAGACGCCCGGGCATCTTTATTGTTCCATTTTTCGGCATTAGTAGCGGGGAAGGAGTGAATAGTAGTCCGAAAGCAGTATCAGCTCTTGAAAAATGCCAGTACCCGGCTGGAAGTGAATGAAGTGAATGAAGTAAATGAAGTGAAATGAGTCACTGCAAAGTTGGAAAGTGAATGCGACGCTTGTTGAGGCATACATGTGAATAAGCGCCGAGGATCAGCCAATGAGAGGCGATGCGCTAAACACTGTGGTGATTTAAGCGCGCTAGCGCCAGACGCGCGAGGTTGGTTGTCGCCGCCTTGGCGCATTCATCAAACAAAAGACCAAGCAAGCTCTCAGCAGCTCAGACCCAACCACCCTCGTCTTCCATCTCTCCTGCTGTCGCCTTTGTCCCTGTCATGACAGTCGGTACGCTCGTCTTTGTCTTCAACTTTCCCACACGACCACATCCGGCTTTTGCTAACCTTGCGATCAAAGGGTAACTCATGAATTGCGGAGTTTCGCTGGCGAACCGGTGCTCCGTTCTGGAATTTCGTCGTTGAACGACGCCACAATGCCTCCAGGTGTCGGAGGAAAAAGAAAGAGGGGAGACAGGTCTTGGTCTGGCGATTCTGGAAACGATGGACAGAGACCTTCTCCTCATCGACCCGGCAACCTCAACCTAGCTCAAAACAACCCGAGCCAGTCTCCAAACCAGACCCGCGACTTTGGCGAGAGCAGCCGTGGAAGAGCAGGCAGGCGACCCAGCAGAGGTGGCAGAATGCAATCTGGTCGTACCCCGAGTGCTGGACAGAACTCGTCCAGCCAGTCTCAGGATGGAGCCATGTCTCCTCCACCTGCAACTCCATCCAACGATGTTCCGGATCCAGTCCAGACGAACGGAGCTCCAGCAACAGAAACTGCCGCTCCTCCCCCTTCTATCGAGATGTCCGAAGCCCCTCAGAGCGACGACCCGCAGCCTTCTTTTTACGACTATGAATATGTGACTGAAGATGTAATAACAAACTGGGCATCTGGTGCGAAGCAGACAGTCATCGATCGCGGTGTAGCTGCACGCTCGGAAGAAGACACGATCGGACTGGCTAGCTTGTTCCAAGAGATCATTAAGTCCGTTCTTGACAAAAGGCTACAACCGTCGGAGGCTGGAGATACTGTGAAGCAAATTCTGGGAGAAGAAGCGATATCGGAAAAGGTTGACCCAGCAGGTGGGCTCAAGCCGTCAGACGGCAAGCTCGATGTCCGCTCGCTTTTCCTCGATACCCTCTCCATCCTTGTCGACGAGGTCGATGCGACAAACGATGATCTGAAGCCCTTCGTCTTCGCCACTGGAATATCTCCAGCCTTGATGCGTTTCCAACTGGATACGACCTTGGTTCAAGGCTTGGGGTTGGTTCGAGACACATTTTCCCGAGTGGGAATCCGAAAGCAGACCAATCTTCTCTACCGACAGTCGAACTACAATCTCCTTCGTGAAGAATCGGAAGGTTATTCGAAGCTGCTTACGGAATTATTTACGACGAGTAACAATGAACCCCCCACCAACGAGGTTGTTGAAGATACGTTTGAGCGCGTCAAAGCTATGATAGGAGCTTTTGATCTGGATGTCGGCCGCGTTCTTGATGTGACATTGGATGTGTTCGCTGCAGTGCTCGTGAAGCAGTACCGCTTTTTCGTCAAGTTCCTCCGTGTTAGTTCTTGGTGGCCGAAGGCAGATACTTTTCGGAATGACGAGGAGCACGACCTATACTCTGGTCTCCCAAAGTGGGCTATTCCAGGGTTAGCTGGGTGGCCGCCTACCGAGGAGGAAAAAGAGAAGATTATTCAGATACACGAACAGCGTGACAAGAGATTCTGGGACAGAGTACGAGAGGTTGGAACTCGTGCCTTTTTTGAAATTGGACGACAACCCATAACCGATGATGAGCGACGAAACTCGATTGCGGAAGCCAGTGGCCAGCCAGAAGTTGAAGATGAAACACGAAAATGGATTGAACAGACGGGAACCCTGCCTCCAAAAGGCAACCGCGTCGCTGCCCAGCTCCTAGGCTTCAAGTTGCGATTTTATTCCTCTTCAGTGCGCGACGAGGCCGGCGTGCTGCCCGATAACCTCATATACCTTGCTGCGTTGCTGATCAAGATTGGGTTCATTTCACTCCGCGATCTCTACCCACATCTCTGGAGGCCAGATGAGGAGATGGATGCTTTGAAGGAGCAGAAGATGAAGGAGAAAGCCGAAAGAGAGAGGGCTGCGCGTCCTGGTGGTGGTGTCAACGCTCTTATGCTTGCCGGAGCACTCACCGATGACACCGCTCCCGCTCCCCGTCCTCGTGAACAAGAGGCTCCCCCGGCCAAGGAACCAGAGGCTGAGAAAGCCAAAGAAGAAGAGAAAGAAGCTTTACCGGAGCCATTGGACCAAAAGGTTCTCCTGCTGAAGAGCCTGTTGGCGATCGGCGCCGTTCCCGACGCGCTCTACATCTTAAGCCGATTTCCTTGGCTTATGGACGCCTATCCCGAACTGCCCGAGTTCATCCATCGGATCCTCCATCACTGTCTGAGCAAGGTCTATGCACCACTCCGGCCCTTGCCTGATGCGAGCCACCTGCGCGAGCAGAGACAAGTCCCAAGCCCCGATCAGTCAGGCGTCCCGAAAGGTCAAGTTCGACTCGTTGACGGCCCTCCTCGAAAGGTGCTTAGGTGGGCACAACTTGACAAAGAAGACCAGAACGATGGGATTGACTATCGCTTCTATTGGGACGATTGGGCAGATAACATCCCAGTTTGTCAGACCGTCGACGACGTGTTTACGCTTTGCTCGTCCTTCTTGAACGTCTCCGGCTATAAAATCGGACAGGATCCAAGCTTACTGACGAAACTCGCAAGGATTGGCAAGAATTCAATCAGCGAGGACAGCTCAGAGAGCAACAAGGCACGTTGGAGAGATCTCTGTAAACGCCTGCTTCTGCCCTCTTTGAGTTTGACCAAGGCAAATCCTGGGGTTGTCAATGAGGTGTTTGATCTCATCCGCATCTTTCCTAGAGAGGTGAGATACAACATGTATGCTGAATGGTATTTCGGACAAACATCCCGGCATCCAGATATTAAGTCAGCCTTTGATCTCGCTCGCGCAGAGACAAAGGATACATTGAAGCGGCTGAGCAAGACAAATCTTCGACCCATGGCTAGGGCGTTGGCAAAAATAGCGTATGCAAACCCAGGCATTGTGATCAACGTCGCCATCAGCCAGATCGAATCCTACGAAAACCTCATCGAAGTCGTCGTCGAATGCGCTCGGTACTTTACAGACCTTGGGTACGACATCCTGACTTGGTCCCTGATTAACTCTCTCGGCCAAAAGGGAAGGAGCCGTGTCCAAGAAGGAGGCCTTTTGACCAGTCGATGGTTAAGTGCGCTCTCCACCTTTGCCGGAAGGGCGTTCAAGCGCTACTCGGTGATGGACCCCACGCCGGTTCTTCAGTATGTGTTTGAACAGCTTCGACAGAACAATTCCACCGATCTTATTGTTCTGGAGCAAATGATCAGCTCTATGGCAGGCATCGTCACCGACACCAACTTCAACGATGCCCAAATTCAAGCAATGGCCGGTGGCGAACTACTCCAATCGCAAACTATGCTACAACTTCTTGACAAGAGGCACGAATCGAAGACGACGTCGAAACGGCTGATGAAAGCCTTGACAGACTCGAAGCTCGCAGGGCAGCTGCTCATTGCCATAGCTCAAGAACGTCTTGTGTGTGTCTTCAGAGAGTCGGAGTCAAACCCGGAGCTTAAGTTACTGGGCAATATATTCGATGAGATACACCGGGTTCTCACACAGTACTTGGATCTTCTCCGAAGCAATTTCTCCGTCGCCGAGTTTGACGAGTTTGTTCCTGGTCTTGCCAGCCTCATTAGCGAATTTGGAATACAACCCGAGATCGCTTTCTGGATCACTCGTCCGAGTCTTTGCCAACGGATTGCAGATGCCGATCGCGTTGCAAGGGAAGAGGCTATGGCTTCGAAGAAGCCTGCCGATGACACAACGTCTCCGACCAAGGGCACCGACGGTGATGTCGACATGATCGACGATGGCGAGAGAGTCGAGAAGGAGGATGGTACTGTCGCAGAAAATGAGATGGAAGTGGATCAGGAAGCGGAAGCTTCTACCACGAGCGTCAATGGCCAGCCTGACTCCTCTACCGTGGCTGCAGCGACTTCTGAACCTGCGCCTTGGCATCCAGTCCTGCAGGAGCTTATGAACGAAATAAAGACTGTCTTACCTCCTGAAACTTGGGAAGTCGTTGGTCTACCTTTCTACGTGACTTTTTGGCAGCTGTCGCTATACGATGTCCATATCCCGCAAAAGGCCTACGAAGATGAAATCGAGCGACAGAAACGCAAAGTGATTGCCATTGGAAATGACCGGTCTGATGTTAGCATGGCCGGTACGCAGAGGAAGGAGAGGGAAAAGAAGCAGATCACGGAACTACAGGAACGCCTGCTGGAAGAGAACAAACACCACCTCAAATCTTATGGACAGACGCGAGCAAGGTTGCAGAAGGAAAAGGATCAATGGTTTGCCGGTATGCGAGGCAAGCCTGATGCTCTCAATATCGCACTTTTGGAGCAGTGCTTCTTACCTCGCCTTCTTCTCTCGCCTATTGATGCTTTCTATTGTTTCAAGATGCTCAAGTTCCTTCATAGTTCGGGAACGCCGAATTTCCGAACAGTTGGCCTGTTGGATCAGCTGTTCCGAGACCAGCGACTTACAGCAATAATTTTCCAGTGTACCTCCAAGGAAGCTGACAACTTCGGCCGTTTCCTCAATGAAGTTCTGAGAGACTTGACTCGTTGGCATGCCGACAAAGCGGTATATGAGAAGGAGGCATTTGGAACAAGGAAGGATCTCCCAGGATTTGCCATCAATGTGGATGCCGAAGGCAAACCTGTCACTTTCCTGGATTACGAAGATTTCCGACGACTCTTCTATAAGTGGCACCGCCTTCTCGCAGCGTCGCTGAAGACGTGTCTGAACGGGGGAGAATACATGCACATTCGCAATGCCATCAGTGTTCTCAAGGCTATCGTTCAGTATTTCCCCGCCGTCAACTGGATCGGCCGTGATATGCTGGCCTGTGTCAATTCGTTGAGTCAAAACGACGAGCGAGACGATGTGAAGACGCCCGCAGCGTCTTTGATTGGCGACCTCAACAGAAGAGAAAAGAAATGGATGCTTCCCCAGGCTTTTATGATAGTGAGTCGAACCAATTCATCAGCACGCCTTGACACGGAACTGACTCTCCAAAAGAATGAGCCTGTACCCGCGGACAAGGCAAGAGCCCGTCCATCGAGGCCACAGTCGACGACCCCCAAGCCTCTGAATGCGGCCGCACCTGAATTCAAGCCCTCTGCCCCTACAGGGTGAGTTTACCAATCTTTTTCAGCTTCAATGACTGCCGACAGAAATTCTAATACTCCAAAGTAGGACCAATGGAACTCCAAGTCACCAGCCTACCGGGAAACCGGAGGTGGAGGATGGCGAGATTGAGGACGCGAAGATGAGCGAGGCAGCTGCAAAACCAGTCTCTCAACCAGAACCGCCGACAATCAGCAAAGAGGAGAAGTCGATTGAGCAGACAGAGCAACCAGGCCCCGCTGCGGAAACAGTGGCTTCAACTGCCAAAGCCGAGGAAATTGAAACGGAAACAGTTGTAGCCAAGGAGGCAGCAGCGCATCCTGCCGAAACGGAGAGGCCACCATCGTCAGCGTCACAGAAGCATGCCGACGCTCCATCTGGACGAGCCCGGACGTCACCATCTCCGTCTCGATCTCGTCCAAGCTCCGGACCACCTGAGGCTTCTCGTTCATCTAACATACCAAAGCGTCCAGATATTGAGAGAGGTGCACCAAGTACTCATCCATCCCGCCCGCCACCAAATCTCCCGAACAAGCCAGAACCACCTCGACCTTACAGGCACGGCGATGGCCGCTCTTCTCTCAGACAAGCCGACCTGATCGACGACCGTAGAGATTTCAGAGATGGCAGACATTCCGACTTTCCTCGTCCCAGTCGATTCGGTGATGCCGAGCGCGAACGATCATTTGACCACCCGATGAGCGACGCTCGAGGCCATGGCCGCGTGGATCGTGACAGGGGAGAACCATTTCCATCTAGAGCTCCTCCTTCCGATGAGCAGTTCCGTGGCCCTCCTAATCGCGATTCTCGGCCACCTCCTCGAGAGGCTGATTGGCCCGACCGATCAGGAAGGGCACGACCGCCTCCAGCTGAGCCGTTCCCTCCCCGACCGGATGATGGCCGGTTGTCCCGAGACGGTGTTCCTCCTATGCGCTCTGCTCCACAACCCCATCCGGACCGGGCAGATTTGATCCGCGAGCACCCTGACAGAGCCGCATTGATAGAAAGCGAAAGTCAGCATCGTGGTGAGCTGTCGAGGTCTGAGAGAGATGAGCGCAGGCCACACTCGTCAAGAGTATCTCCACCCCCTAGGACAGACGATTCACGGCCACCTCGTCCGGAACGATTCCCGTCCGACGACCGTAGGCCTGGTAGCCACGCCCAAACCCATCCTCGTCACGATGACTTCCCTACGGGTCCGCGTGGTGAACGACCTGGGCGTGGTCCGGACTTGATTGAACCAAGAGATTCATGGTCTGGTCCTGACATGTCCCACGGAAGACTGAACCAGGAGTCGAGATATCCTCGCCAGCAAGAGCCACCCTCTGACATTCCATCTGGACCGAGAGGCAGGAATGCTCCGGGACGCGGTCGAAATGTTTCGACATCCCAGCCTTCAACTCCAGGAACGCCTGGCGCAGCCCCTGAACGTCAGCCCCCGACTGGTCCTGCCGGCCGGTCTAGCACGAGGAGTCTTCGTGAACCATCTCCTCCGTCGACTGGCCCTCCACCTCTTGCAACTGATAGAGCAGATACGAGTGGAATCCATCCTGATCGGCTCAGGAATTTGCAGGCAGCTGCTGATCCTTCTTTTAGTGGCCCTCGATCTCCAGTCATGCCACCTTCTGGGCCCCGCGGAAGTGGCCATGGACCATCCTCCGGACCTGGCTTTGGTGGAGAGCGAGGCCGAGGAGACAAGCGCTTTGCAGGTATTAATAACGTGCTCCAGCAATCGGGTGGTCCGTCGGATCGAGGCGGGCAAGGACCGCCAATTCGAGGAAGAGGTGGCAGACAGGCCAGTTCGATGAATACCGTGTCCCCGCATGGAAGTCGCCCTGCCAGTCCCCCGGGCGATTCTGAAGAAGGCACCGGATCGAGCGCACCGCAAAGTCGGCCGGATCTATTTCCCAGCGAAGTCAATGCGCCATCATATCCCGAAGATGACAGTCGTGCCCCCGGTCGTCTTGGGGGTGGTAGACGAGGTGAGGTTTCAGATGAAGCGCCTTCCGAGGTCAGGCGGTCTAGTCGTTTTGCGAACAACACTCCGGACCGCGATCGTGACAGAGAAAGGGATCGGGACCGTCGTGGCGAAGAGGACATTCTCCGAGGAAGTGGCCGAAGGGATGAACGTCGAGATAGGCTTCGGGACCGCGATCGTGAGCGCAGTCGCAGGGGTGACAGTGACAGTCGGGAAGAGTCCAGCCAGGAAGTCAGAGAGTCATCTGGTCGCCGAGGAGGCCCCAGCAATCGCGACGAGAACCGGAAGCGGGACCGAAGGGATCGGGACGTTTCGACGGACCGTTCCGGGGCTGGTGGTAGCAATGAGAGTCAGGGTCGACTGAGATCGTCGTCTTCGATTGGCGGTCCCTTACCACCACCGCCTCCTCCGCCTCCTGGAGGGCCAGGCGAGGAGCGCAGATGGGGCGGCGGAAGTGGTCGCGGCGAGAATCGGGACAGCAGAGAGCGGGAGCGCAATCGGGATCGAGGAGGCAGGGATCGTGACCGCGATTATCGCGAGAGCAACAGCAATGCCCTCCCGCGCAAGCGTGGTCGGCCCGGTGATGAGAATCACGGACACGGAGATAGCGGCAGCGGTCGCGGCGGTGGGATGAGAGTCGGCAGTGAGAGCAAACGGCCCCGGCGTGGAGCGTGAGCGAACCAATTTTGATAGCATGATGGATGTGAGCGATTGATATCCGTCGTTTGATTCCAAGTATTTCAGCTCTTTTCCTTGAGTGTGTTCTGAAACGAGGCATTGAAGCATTTGTCGGCGTATGTTATTGTTATGTTGTTATCATGGATGGATGGGGTTGTGTTATACGAGTGTAAGAAAAGCATCATCATCATCATCATCATCATGTTTATTTTTATTTTTCATTATGAATCTCCTTTCTTTTTCTTTTTCTTTCTTTTCTCTGAGAAACTTTGTTTTGGTCCCGAGCCATTTGTTCCTCATGTACTGTACGCACACATACGATTGGCATCTATCATTTTTTTTCTCATTGTTGTAGGTAGCAAACCAATCTGAGCGATTTCATTTAATTCACTTTACCTACGTAGAGAGTAATGCCTACCTCGAATTGTCTGAATAACTTTCGATATAGCGCTATAATTGGTATTAACTTCATGAGCTACTTCCTAATTAAATAAATTTACTATATCTATATCAGCAGTTCATATTAATTAAGTTGATTAATCCCGGAGGCAAAATGTCATATACAAGAATGCGGGGAAGACAGAAAGAAAGTAAAAAAAAAAAGAAGACAATCATATATATCCTAATGCATGCATGGGTTGGTTGATGCAGGCCTATCTATAGGTAGGAGCGGAGAGCACTAAGACATAGTTACCATACTGCATGCTTCCCCGGATTCTCTCTACTCGATAGGGAGTAGTTCGTTGCGGAGATGGTGTGGTACTGCGGCATGACCCCTGAGAAAGGAAGGATTCGTGAGGCTGACAGGCTGAGGGCTGAGGCCAGGGCAGGGCAGGTTGTGTAGACTGCTAGGCTCGCATTTCTCTTACGTTATGCATTCTTCTACTACTACTGCTGCTGCTGCTACTACAAGCTGTACGGAGGAAGTACTACTCAGGCTGTTTGTGAATGACAGACAATATAATATATATAATGTACGGAGTAGCGTTAGCCCGGCATCTGTGTGTCTGCTCTCCTCTGCCCTTTTTTTTCTTTTTATTTGCGTCATCAGCTCGTCATCATCAGCTGAGATGGTCAGTTGATTGATGATGGCTGATGATGATGAGAAACAAAAGGAAAGGAAAGGAAGAAGACAGAAGGGCTGTACCTCATGCACAGCCAGGACCGCGTGACTCGTGCGGGATGCACAGTATTACTTTGGTGGGTTTGGCTTGGTCCTCTGTCCTCTGGTTGGTGGCAAAATGAAGGTGTGAGATTGCAGGTTGGATGCTAGATAATAATAGAATAGATATTATTATTTTTTTCTATTGCCGTTGTTGATTTCGAGTAAATGAACGAAGCATAGTCAAGTCTGTCGTCATAGAGATACCTAATGAGCTGATTACTCCGTACTACACCACACTAATACTCCAACCTGGTATGGAGTTATTCCGTACTCAGGCTAATAATCTTAACAGTTAGCCACTCTCACTGATAAGCTGTAACATTGTATGCATATCATATGCATCTCGATGCTTTTAACCAGATGGATACTCGTCTGCGCAAGTCTGGACTGATCCATGGGTTCGAACGATGCCGGATGACGGCCGTCACATGACAGCGGCAGGGAACGGTGGAACCTTCTACTCCGATGGGCCGCCCCACTTTGCCAAGCCCTGAAAGGGGGGAAAAAGGGGAAGCTGGAAAGCAGTCAGTCAGTCCTATGCAGAGCTGAGGCTGAAGCCAAGTAAATCAAAACAATTCGATCTCATCCAATAATGCGCAGGAAGAAGGAGATACGGTGTGTTATGTGACATCTCAAGCAGACAGCCATGATGCATGCAGGCAGGCTTGACTCTACTGTACTGTAGGTCTTGGGTAGTAGAACGAACAGTCCAGACTTATTCCTGCTGGAAATGACCCAACCAACAATTAAAATAAATAAAAGACAGTAATAATATTAATTTCCAGACGAACTTTTGCTCATTTAACTCGCAGGGTCCTGTGCACAAGCTTGGGGAAATGAATTGATACGGACAGCCCCTTTTTACATAATTTTTTTTAGGTTAAGCCCTGAAATTGTTTTCCAACCAAATAATGAAAATTTGAAGCACTAATCAAAATTGCTATAAAAATTGAACTGGTGTTGAAATTTATAAATTTTTAATAAATATTCACTCTAGTAAGGACTCTATGTTGTAAGAATTTTGAAAATCATATAAGGTAACTACAAACACAAAAAAATGACAAATAGATTTAAGTGTATTATTGGTGGAAATATGATGATTTCGGAGCTTAACCTAAAGGAGGTCAATGGGTTTCTGGTCTTGGAGTGGAAGAGGCACAGTTTTCCATCTTGACAGCTTCCCCTGAATCAATAAGAATAATAACCTACTCTGTACTCCGTACTCCGTAAACGACCATGGGTTCGCCAGGAATTGAGTTTCGCACGAGCACAATGATTATGCCACAGGTACGGAGTACTCCGTACTCCGTACCTAACCTAAGCTCGCACGACATGGAGCAAAGCGTCCAACTCCATCGTGCCGGCCGAACTAGCGGAGTAATAAACTCTTGCAGCAATGAATAAGGCCTAGCCAAATAATACCGGCATAGACCAATGGTAGGCCAGATCGGCCCCGTGGTAGGGCCCGCGGGATGGGGATTTCCTGTTCGGGGTTGTCGTTGTCGAAAGTGGATGCCTAGACCATCATCTCCTAGTCTCCCCGGCGCCTTCCTCTTTGGGCCGATTCCTTGCGTCCCCTTCCTCCGAGCATGATTTTCTTTTCCGCTGGGATGCCGATTGAGAGTCAGATGACTTCGGTCTCTCTGCCAGACTCGATGACACATGTCCATCCAGTGCGCATCCCAGGCATGTGTTCGTCGACTGGTTCGCCGCGCGCCCTGCAACCCAAACCAAGGCTAGGGCCCAACGCGGACTAGGGCGCGACAGCCACCAACGCCCGGGCATCCTATTCCTGCGCTATCCAAAACGCCCTGAACGCTGCCCCAGTAGGAAACGTCCAAGCGCATCGAGCAGGCCCCGTGGTCCGGAGGTTCGCGCCACGATACGCTCGCTGGCGTTAATCGAATCCCCCCAGATCCAATCCCCCAGCCGATGAATCGGGAATGGCCGGCCAATGGCCACCTGCGCCGCTTGTCCCTAGCCGCTTCCCTATGTAAAAAGAGGCATGGCTGCCTTCCCTCCGGAGACGCTCCAGGTGACCTTGGGAAAGGGACGGAAGAAGCTTCTTTTCTCTTCGCCATTGCAGCGCCGGGTGCCGTTCGCGCCCCTCTGTTCTTTTTTTACTCTGTCTTCTGTCATCACTCTTCGCACCTGCGCTCCCTCACCCAGCGGTCAGTCAACCTGCTGTCATCTCACCTGTAGCAGGACATAGCTGCAGCGCATTACCCACACGATCTACATGGTGGCGAACGAGCACCCGGCTTTCTCCACACTTTCCTCGATAGGGCGCCAATTCGACAAAGTCATGTTTTCTGCCAAAGCTGCTCCTCGCGCATGAGGTAATGGCTGCTCTCTCGCCTTCCCCCGATCGTGTCTGTCGTCTGCAAACTTCCCGGCCCATGGACGCGGGGCTGTGCCGTTGATCATTCCCAATATATTGCTCCATCGTGCCTTCCCGGAGCTCTTGAACGTGGTTTCCCCGCATTGTCCACCGAGTCAGCGTGCAAGAGAGGCATTCCGTACGGTGAAACACGGCATCCTTGTTTGCTTGCCATTGTCTGGCGTTGAATGCGGCTGTTTTTCGTGTGCGTGTGGCCAATTGCAGTTCATGCCTATCTAAATGCCTATTCCCTGACCGCTGGTGGGTATTCGTCACGAATATAGTCAACTCTTATCCTCCAGAAGCATTCCGTGCAACCGGCTCCAGAGCTGCGTGGGAAGTTGCTACCTCACCCATCATGAGAAGATCAACCACTGTGCCTGACAAGATGAGGAAGCGGTTCACCTTTCATTTGGGCTCTCATGTAAGCTTGACGGCACCATCTACAATTTTGGCGGCATTGTACCTCAAAAAGCCAACTTGACTAACAATACGAAGAAACCCTCATTTGCTTTCCCCCCTGAAGACCGAAGCCGGTACTACGACTTTGTCGATACTCCTGTCAATTGGAGACCCTCTTCGCCGTTGATTGAGCGACAAAAGCTTACCCCCGTCGAGGAAGTCCAGCTCCGCTATGCTTGCAAGTTGTTATGCGAGATGATTGAGAGAGGAGAGATATCCCCGGGATCACCTCCACCCAACCAGTCCAACCAGGACAGGAAAACCGTTCCAGAACAGGTCGACCAGGAACCAAGCCCCCTGGTCTCTTCGGAGCCGGCCAAAGCCCACAGTCAGCCAATCTCGGAAGAAACCAATGACGATGGGGTTGTGGAAAAAAGGTTATACGACTCTGGAATAGTACTTGAAGACGCAGAATCTCCTGATTCTCCCAAAGTCGCCAGACCGGCCACAGAAACCGACGGCAGTAAACCCGCTGCCCCCGAGGACGTTTCCGAAGACATTCCTCAGAGCTCTACGGAGGTGGGGATTGCGCAGTTCTATCCAGGCGAGTCGGATGATCGTGTTGCATCTGTCCCAAAACCTCCTTTCGCTTCGGATAGTGATCAAAGCATCGTCGGCTATGATACTCCAAACCCGGCTAATGGTACGAACGTGACCGGGTCTTGTGCCATTCCCGCGATTGGAAAATATGAACCGACTGATCACTGGTATAACCGTGACGGAAAAGATGAAGCGGATGATGTATATTTCACGAAAGGCATGATTGTTGGTTCAGATTCAGAAACTCCTGGCATGGATTCACCAGACAGCGTCCAGTCAACAACCGCCGCTGGCATGGACGCTTTGACGCCGCAATGCGCCAATCCAGTGACGGATTCACCTGCAGATTCTCCGCCAATGAGAACTCCAAGCTTTTCTCGCCCTTGCGCTGTCAGTCGAGCCGCCTCGAGACGAGCTCCACGCAGTCGAGACCGTGACGTCCCGCCGCCTCTACCTCATCAGAACCAGGAGGTCTCTGAACGACCGCAAGCCCACGAGCGCCGTTCGCAGCAATCTTTGGAGACTCGAGAGGCGGTCGTCGCTGGAGGAGATGAGTCTGGAGTGGAAGTCCGTGGACAGCAGTCAAGTCACAATAGCGGTGGTAGTGGTGGAGTTGCCGTCATCATTGGCCCAGATGGCATGGAACACGTCATGACGCCCTCTGAAGAGAAGCAGCGCTATCTAGATCTGCAGCGTGCCGTTATGGAGAAGATGGTTACTGGCACCATTGGGGCCGCCCCAGAGATCTCGATCAGTTCTGGTTCAGTTGACGGATCTTCCTCTACCGAGCATACACATTCGAAATTGTCGCCCTTACCAAAGTCTCATGTGCGAGGCCATTCAGGAGACGGGTACTTGACATCTCGCCTAAGGAATGAGAATATTGGTGGCGAGAATCAGAATCGTCCAGCCGTTTTGAACAGCAGGCATGAAAAGAAACCCAGCCTTATTCGGAAGCTATCTATGCTCGGACTGGGCAAGAGGAAGTCCAGCGACACCACCAAGAATGCGAATATTATGGGTTTCAGTCGCATTGTGGAAGCGTCGTGATGGCTATTTTTGCAGCCGTCTTCGTGCACCCAACAAGCTTACAGTTTGCGAATCTGATGCATTTGCATATTACCCTTCGTGTCAAATATTTTTTTTTTCTGTTTCTCGTTTATTTTACGAGCGAGGTGTTGGTGGTTCATGGAAAAGAAGTTACTTAAAAGTCATGGGTACAGGGCATGTTGTTCTTCTATGGAAAATATTCGGGTTTAGGGGATTCTTTACCGATCTTCTCTAATCGTCCGTCTGTCGCGTAGTGTCGCACTGTCAACAAGACTTAATTCTCTCAGAAACCCCGGAGTTATCACGAGGCACGGTTTCATCTTTTGATAAGTCTTGATACGGTTGCGGCGATGTTTGCGCGAGACGATTTGGGTGAATTCTTTCGTTATTTTCCTTTTTTTCCCCTTTTCATTTGTCTTTTTTTTTTCATAATTTTTTTTGGCATACTGGATCGGTTTATATCTTTTGGGCACCATTGATATACCCCATATGTCTAGCAAGACCAGCTCTCTTTGTTTTTCATTTGCAACTCCCTCATCTTTTCCCACCAACATTGTTTTTAATTCCGAATTCCGTCTATATATCCACTCATGTATCATAGTCTTCCAGGTGGTCATTTGGTATTTGTGGGACATATACGTAATACCATTGATACAGAATGGAATCGGACCAGGAAATCAGACACGACTTAGTTCTTTGAACCATGTATAATGCCAATCACAAACGACACTTGCTGATTAGCTCGCGATATTGCACATTAACCTCTCTTGATGTACTGAGAACTCGGCCGGAGGACTCGCTACTGACTGATCTCGTTGTCAGGTCACCTGGAATGGTTCCGATTACCCCGAATTTCCGTCAACTAGGCGGAAAACGGATCGTGCTCTTCAAGCACATTCACGGGCGACTCGCCTGGGAATTGTGTGCCGCGGATGTTCTGAAAGCAGCCAGACAGTTATGGTATTGAATGGTATATTGCATAGGGGGCTTACACCCGTGCACTGTCATGGACATCGGAAATGCTGAGCTTGGCTGTGGCATTGACCTCAGCACGCATAGATGCGGCAGGACGTGAGAGAAGCTTATCGGGTAGGTGGTGTCGGCCAGTATGGCAAGCATGTTCCTGCGTCAACTCCCCCTGTTCATGCCTACGCTGTACAGCCCTGTCAAATACGTCATACACGTGGAGAAATGCTAACGTCTGGTGTTTTCGTTGCCGATGTTGGAGCTCATGGCTAGGTTCTTCCTGCGGCGCTTGGATTTTTGAGCTCCGGGGCACGGGGCCTCCCGAGGCCATTGCGCTGGTAACTTGAATTATTAATGTTGAACTGAATTGCCAGGCTCAAAGCTACTATATGCTCAGACGCTATTCATGACACGACCATGGTCCGGAGATGAAACACAGGAGTCTAAATATCCAGCGGAATTAACTCCACGCCAACGACAGGAGCTCCTCCAACGAAGTGAGCCTAGGGGATAGAGAGGGACTAAGCATCTAGGTAGGTTCGTAGGTTCTAGATCCCAGCCATCTATTCCGTACTGATGTCGACATTGACAGATGACTCCTGCCCACCGCTGTGGGGCTTTCGTCCTTGATCTTGAACCTGTCGGATCGGGCCATCGGATAGTTGTAAGGTTGGAACACCCTAGGATGGCGTTAACTTGGTGATTTCCATCATCATCATCATGCAATAGCACCCCATACTCTGTACAGTGGGGTTACTCTGGTTTGATAGGAATAACTTGTCTTGATGAACTCCGGAAGCTCTTCTTTTCTTCTGGAATTCTGCCCCGCTGGCCGGAAAGCTGCACTTCAGCCCTGTCGTAAGTGACCAGAGTCAATTCCTGTTTGCCTCGCTTCACCATCCGATCCGAGTGGAAATTATCACCTCCGGAAGAAACAGTCTATATGTATACCGTCCAACAGCGTTATGCAGAAGAAGTTATTAGAAAACACAAGGTTGGTTTTTTCGTATTGTTATCTTTGTTTTTTTCCCCCTTTACCAACGTTATTTCCTTAGAAACGATCAGGTATGAAGCAATTGCCCGATCTGGTGAGTCGTGACATAGTTCATCAATTCATCCTGAAACAGAGCCAGTGTCCAGGGCCTGGAGTTGGTTTGTTTCACGTGTATTGTACTACTACTTAGTCGGTAGACATTAATATACTAATAGTAATATACCAGCAAGATGATAGGCGCAAAATAATTTTACTAAGGGTTGCCTAGATTAGTAGTTATGTGTCATTGATGGCGATGCTTGTGATTCTGGAAAGAAAGGGCGGGGGAAAAGATATGGAGTTGCACAACAGCTTTCCTAATCCATGACAATCTCGCCAGGTGTGGGGTATAACATCATGGATTGGATAAGCGAAAAAAAAGTTCTACTGCCCACACTTGTATGCAGGTACAACCATGTGTCTGAAACAGTGGACTAGGTAGCACCATAGTAGCACAGGCACCTAAGCCTGCAGACAGGCTGTGCAGTAGTCCAAGAATAAATCTTGGAAGTAAGGTAATAATAATGATCTGTACCCAACGGAGTAACTACTCGGTCGGAATACGGAGTAGCGGAGGAGGTGCCTAATCCGGGTTTCAAGACGCTAAGGACCACGTGGCTGCGCGGATTGTTCCTTTGGTGTTCTTTCTGTTGGACTCGGAACGCACAGACACCGGGCCCATCGAGGAATCATCGAGTCATCCACCAGAAGCACCGCAGAATCCTGGCCAATCTTGGCGCGTGGCCCTGGCACCTGGCGCCTGGTGCCTGGCGCCTAAGGCACCGACTGCCTTCCTGGGCAGGCACCTTCCTTAGATCTCACCTGGGCAAGGAGGGGCAACTGCCTGAAACGAAACGGTGCCTCCAGCTCAGCAGGTTGCTGTTACCTACCTAGGTACCTAACCTAGGTAGGTGCAGGTTCTAGGACAGCTATGTGCAATAGCTACCTTCCTGCATGTATCCATGGATTTAAAGGGAATTGACAGCCGTTAATGACTGTTGGCATCCTTGGCTAGACTATCTCTAGTTCTCTGACTAGCGTTCGCCAACCCCAGATCCTATCCTGCTCATTCATCACGGACCCAGGGTACACAGTAAATAGTTTGATGAGTAGCTCGGGGCAAGTAGATATGGCCTGGATTGTTTTTCCTGTTCTTGCTTCCAGTCGACCTCGACGCGTGTCGAGGACAAACTGCGTGTGGGCCGCCGCTTACCCGCACGCTTCTACGACAGCCAGCCATTTGAGCACGTTGCGGCGTATCCCTGCACGGCCGGTCCCTCGGCAGCGATCGGAAACCCAATGACGCGCTTGACACGATCCCAGCCGCCAACCGCCAGCGCCAAAGCAGGTTAGCGGGCCATGTGAAGTAACCCGTCGGGTCAACCTTGCTGCAGGCACTGGTTCACCGTCCAGAGCAATCCAACCTGAGGCATACAGCTTATTGCTCTTGCATACGTCAATAATAATGTCGACGACTTGGCTCTTCTTGTCGGTGACCCGTTCGCTGAACATGATCCCCTTCTTCCTCGCCCTCGCCTTCTCCTGCCCATCGCTTCTGAATACCCTCCCTGTTTGGCGATAGATTCAGCAGGATCGCCAAATGTGATCCGGGCTCGGAATAAATGCACCGCACCGTGACTGCTGCAAACCATCCTGCTGTCGGATTGTCATCTGGACTCCAAGAATAATGATGGACCAGGTCATCTCGCATGACTTTGAGGATTGGCCCGACTGGCCGCTCCGCAATTCCCACTGCGTGAGTTATGTATCGCAGGACTCCGAAACCGCCAGTCTGTTGTCGTCCTCTCAATACCCTCCGCCGCCCAGTCCCACGGTCACGTCGTCCTCCAGCGATAAGGGCAAATCGCCGCAGTCGCCGCCAGAAGTCATCAGATTGCACCTTAATCCCACTGTGACCATGTATGTTGGCAAATTGAAGAAAAAGGAAATCTCCGCTGGCAGGTCCCTCCTCTGACTGGTGATCCTGCAGATCGTTCGTGAGAAAGAATCGATTGTTCCGGATTCAGTACGGATACATCAATATTTGCAAGGACTCGAGTGGAAACCTGCGGTGTCTAGAGCTGGGAGGATCGGCCGGCCAGCAGAATCCTTTTATACATACCTGTGAGTAGCTTGGGCCGGTGCCTTTTCCTCGGGAATGGAGCTGGACTGACACTGATGACTGCAGTCCACAACTCCAAGCTGCCTGTCCCGCACTTGGAGCAACCCCGACTGTCCAAAGAAACCAGCTACCGTGTCTCCTTTCTGGAAGAACAGACGATCCAGACGGGCCAGACGGTGTTCACCAGTCAGCTGTCCTACACCTTTGACGATTGGAATGGTACGGATTCCGATGTCTCGGGGTAATTCTTTGAAGGTGTCATCGCTGACGGGCCGTCCCCAGATTGTGTCCGGTTCCAGGAGCTCCTGCTTGCATCCGAGCTGGTCTTTATTGCAGGCATCGCGGAGGCCAAATCCAAGGGCCGTGGGGAGGAATGCATCAGCCAGAACCTGCGCATCTTGCGGGGCCGCCATGACCGCAAGGTTATTTTGTTCTTCGCCAATTCGCAGCGAAGGGAGCGGAAACGATACGTTTCTATACCGCGTAGGGATCCCTCGAACACGTTCTTTTGCGATGCTGAGACTCTGTTTCTGACCTGGTCCCCAGTTAATTGCATCGACCATCTGGAGGTGCCGAAGAAGCCCAGCCGCCCGGTGTCGCTGCACCTGCGGCCCAACTTTGAAATCTTGGCGGAGATGAAGGTGTTGCACATCCAGTTTCTGGAGGAAGACGGTGTGTTCTACGATCATTCCTCTACTGGCTACGTCGATACTAATTTTGGGTTTTCTTTGTCCCAGACCAGAGGAAGTTTATCGACCTCGTGTTGCACTACCTTGACCGATGACGTATGACCTGTTCTTATGGATGATGAATTGTTGGATGGAAAGGATTGGATTGGATTGGATTGGCATGCCGGGCGTTTTGGATCGTGTCTCGAGGATTTGCATACAGGAGTTTGTGTTTTGCTATTTCAGTGTTAACAATACCCCATGTGATGTTTGTTAGGTAACTGATGTGCTGTGATGACTAAATGCACGTGATTGCTCTCCCACTTCCCTTGCCGTCGCTTAGGGCGCTACCACAAGAAGTCAAAGCAGAAAATGCATTAATCACAAGTTTCTTTCCTTCCACGTGTGTGTCAAAGACGCCTCACCTTGACCGCTTTTCTCGCGTCGTGTTGCTCTTCTTTTCTTTTTTTTTCCCCCAGGGCGATTCCACGCCAATTGCGGGTCGCATTGAATGCCCGTGATGAGGGGAATCTAGCTCGTTCGCAAAGGGCAAGCGTAGGGCTCTGGGGATGCATCGTTATATCCGACGCTTCTCTCGGATGTCGGCATGCTTATCCTGTTCGAGCTAGGAACGCCGACAGCAGACTCGACCTCCAGGGCATTAATGATCTAGTATTGGATTATTAGACGTACTGCCGACTTCAATAACTGCTGCTGCCAAGTGATCCTAGCGCGGAGCTTCTGCAGTGACAAGTGGGCCCGTGGTCGGCGCTGCCGAGCGCGTCATCCTGCGAATCACACGCACGTGGGGGGAGGAGTGGGCGATCGTCGCTCGCCCGCTCTTGCCCTTTTGCTTTCGTACCGCGTACCTGCCCTGATAGGCGTGCTGCCAGCAGCCCTCCGCTCCTGCCCGCCGGGCACTGTCGGGCGCCCGTCCTTTGTCCGCTGTCAGCCTGCTCGGGCGTCTTTCCTGCTTCTCTCGGATCGCCGATGGTAATCATCATCTGGATCAGCACGGCTTACCCACTTTGTCCCAGGGCCCTGGGCCTGTGCTCTCGCCGACGTCCTCGATGCCAGTAGCCTATATGCGGTTGAGGTCATTGATTATCTTCGTTATGACGCCGTTCCATAAATCCCCCCACTCTGGCCCTGCGGCTTCGCACGGGCATATGTACTGTACCGAGCTGAATGGCCTGGTCCTGTCGAGCATTGTCCAGCGTTTCTACTAGCGAGCTCCGCCTCCGTCTATCAGTCCCCCCCTCGCCCTGTGTCTCCCACGTTCTCTCGCTTTCTTTCTTGCTTGCTTGCTTCAATTTCTGTCGAGCAGACGTCTGTCGGACGTCGACTAACCTATCCAGGAGGACTTTCGTTGATTCCATCGAGTTGACCGCTATCATGCAGCTGTCGACCTGTCCAGCCTCCCGAATCGTCAAACGGCCGCAATGAACTAAGGACAGTCCCCGCAGACGAGTGCAACCTCTGGTCTCACATATATCTCAATTCAGCGTTATCTAGAACAGCAAGAACGGCAAACGAGAGGACGCTCCAGCGTCCTTTTCAGTCACAATGGGCCGCTTTCGCAGTCGGTTATACAAGACCGATCGGGCTCGCGACTTCGAGCATGAACAGGTGTGCATCGAGTGTGGAAGGACTGAGAAATCGATCTGACTGTCCATGATAGGATCGCTATGTGCGAATGCAACAGATCTACGACACGATCGACCGGCAGTCGTTCCAATGGGTGGTGGTCTTCGTTGCCGGCGTCGGTTTCTTCCTCGATGGTTATACGGTGAGTGGCTTGCCGCTTATCGAAGGAAGGATCTGGCATTGACCAAACCAAGCTGTTCGCAAGCAACATTGCCCTCCCGATGATTACCTACGTCTACTGGAGAGACGACGTGTCGTCCAAACGATCCACCCTCATCAACATCGCCACTCTGGGCGGCACGTTTCTGGGCCAGATCATGTTTGGTTTCCTGGCCGACAAGAACGGCCGCAAGAAGATGTACGGAGTCGAACTGGTGCTCCTTATTGCCGCCACGCTGGGGGTTGCCATGTCGTCGACGGGAGTCGACCACAGCATGAACATCTTTGCGTGGTTGATCTGGTGGCGGACCCTGACCGGGATCGGCGTGGGAGCCGACTACCCGCTCAGTGCGGTTATCACATCCGAGTAAGTTCGATCTGGCTCTGAACCTGGTTCTTGTCAATTAATAAGAATTTAGATTCGCCCCGACCAAGCACCGCGCCCGCATGTTAGCGACGGTCTTCTTCATGCAGCCGCTGGGCCAGCTCGCCGGCAATCTGGTCGCGCTGGTCGTGGTGGCCGTCACCCGACGGCAAGGCGACGCCGATCTGGCCCGCTCGGTCGACATCATGTGGAGATGGGTCATTGGCATCGGGGTGGTGCCCGGCGTTGTTGCGTCGCTGTTCCGATTCGCCATTCCTGAGACGCCTCGATATCTGCTCGACATCGACAACGACCCGATCAGGGCCGAGTTCGATGCGACGACGCTGTTCGGCGAGCCGGCTCCTCTGAGCCCGCAGGAATTGGACCCCAGCTGGGGCAACATGAAATCGATGCCCTCGACCGCGCTGTCGCGGGCGAGCGGTTCTCTCGATGGGGATACGTTGGACGCCACCAACGCCGACTACACCCTCCATCCGCCGACGATGCAGTCGCCCTGGCGCATGGTCCTGGCGGACATCATCCACTATTTCTGGACGGAGGGCAACTGGCGCACCCTCGTGGGCACGTCGCTGGCCTGGCTGCTGCTCGACTTTGGATTCTACGGGATTGGTCTGTCGAGTCCGCAGTTTCTGGCAAAGACGTGGGGGTCGCTGAATCTACACAGTCCGGCGCCGTCGTGGAAGACGGACGACTCGCCCGACGCCAACGTCTACGATATGTTTTTCAACACGTCGATTCATGCGATGGTCATCCTGAACCTCGGCAGCGTTGTCGGCGGGCTGCTGGTGATCATGTTCTCGTACCGGCTGAACCGGGTCAGCCTGCAAAAGTACGGGTTTTTGGCGCTGGCAGCGCTGTTCATTGGGCTGGGGACCATGTTTATTACTGTGCACAAGGAGGGACCAATTGCGATAGTGCTGTACATCATTGGGCAGATGCTCTTTAATTTTGGTACGTCTGCTGAGTCTATATACTTACTGGATTGTACAGTACATACTAATTGTGTAGGACCAAATGCCACGACCTACATGATTCCCGCGGAAGTCTTTCCTACGCGTTACCGGGCGACATGCCACGGCATCAGCGCGGCCTCCGGCAAGCTGGGCTCGATCCTGGTCCTGATCTTTTCGGCGTACTACAACATTGGCACCGGGGTGGGGGACCAACAGACGACGCGGTTCGGCTGGATTCTGATCGTGTTCAGCGCGGCAATGTTCCTGGGGGCGGCGGTGACGCACTTTTTTATCCCGACGGTGCAGAAGGAGAACGGACAGAGCCGACTCTGGGGCGGCAAGACGGAGACGCTGGAGAGTCTGGCGCTGGGGCGGTTAGGCGAGAGCAGCCGGTATGCGGTGCGACGGCCGCGGTCGGTGCACCGGTTGACGGGGTTGTACGGGTGATGTAGTGTAGATCAATGGCTGGTGTGGGCTTGAGGTTATAAATATCGGTATGATATATGTATGGACGATGTACATATGAATTACGGTTGTGGATACTTTTGTGTGTATGTACATATGTTTATTTAGATCTATTACAGTGAGTACATGTACTGTACAGTACACTTTTCACATCGATCAACAACAGTAATCAATAGTAGTACTAATTGATGATTGCATTGGGTAATTCTCGAAAGCGGGAGTAGCATCAGCTGAAATCCGATCTGGCAGACCAGCAACCCAACCCATCTGGATGCTAAGTTCAACCTAGCTGTACTACTTACCCAGAGGAGTAACTAACAAGAAGTAACCAACTAACAGTGACAGGTAGTAGTTATCGATCGATCGATAGGTAGATACATAGGTAGATAGACAACTAAGTTAAATGTGACTAGACTATCGTCGTACAGGAATCGAGTCGAGTCAGTCGAGTAAGTCAAGTATTCCAAGTTTCCAACAGTAAGGTAGGGTAAGGAAGGTAGGACAGAAAGGTGGATGGAGGAAGATTTTTCTTTTCTTTCTCTCTCTCTCTCTCTCTTTTTTTTTATCTTTCTCTTTATTTATCTTTCTTTGTCCTTGTCTTTGTCTACATGCCGCTCTTCCAGCCTTGAATTGCCCCCCAATGCTCGATTGCCCGACTGACTGACTGACTGACTGACTGATTGACTGACGGCATGTCTAATCTAATACCCATGATTCATGATTCTATTTCTTCGATACTTACTTACTTATGCCAATGTACTGTGGGTATTGACTTTAGAAAAAAAAAAAAAGAAAGGAAAAAGAAAGAAAAAGAAAGAAAAAAAAGAAAAAAGAAAAGAAAAAAATTCTTCTAATAATAGACCTGTAGCGCATCAATATCGAGATCTAACCCCAAGGACCAAGGTCTGTCTCTCTTGCTTCGAAGCTGTATTTGAATGACCTCCTAGGACCTCATTTCAAGGCTATGTTATATACCTTACGGGTAGGAAAAATAAATAAATAGTTAGTTATGGTGAGATAAGATACAATCTATTTAACAAGAGATAGTAAAATAAAATACAAATACAAATAAAAGAGTATTGACATGCTAGCTAATACTATCTCTATGCTTAGGCACGCACCTCGACTGTAGGTCAACATATATAATTACTCCGTATACAATTCCAATCGGATCGATCAAAATCTAGTCTAGTTTAATTCTGTTGGTTTGTTCAGGTTGGATCATACCTAGTTCAGTAGAATATTCCCTAGCTAGAGATGCTAGGCCCTCCATATATCTATAAAGAAAATGTGCAATCTTGCCAGTTGAGTTTCACAGCTTCACGAGGCCAAAGTGGTGGCCCTCCTCTGCGCTAACACGCTTGCTGCCATCTGCGGGAACAGGATCGAAGGTGTCTCTTCTAGTCTGATTGAACTTGACGGGACCGGGGCACTCGCACTGGGCCTCTGCCCTCAAAAAGAAACGTCCTGTGGATGTCGCCATTTTCAATCATCTCAAATTGCAGTCTCGAGCGAGCGGACCAAGAACAAACCCGTTTTACTGAGACTCTTTTTTGAGAGACATGGCATCTTCCAGTACGAAGTGAATGGCCCTACCATTGTCTCGAGACGGTCTTTCTAGCCCAAGTCAAAGAGTTCTTTTCTCCAGAAGAGCTTTCAACGTATTATCATCCTGCTGCCAAGGTCATTCGTCGGATCAACAGATCGATCCAAAGACGACGTGATAGAGCTCCAGCAGGTTTCTAATCCTCAGTCTGAGCCCTGACGATGCACCGCTCCTGCTGGCGCCTAATTCTCGTTCTGATGAGGCATCTTTGTCGAACAGACCTGGATCCTGCTCTGCAAACGAACGCGAATTCTTCGCCACAATTATCCTTCCTCAGCACAGACTTTCGTGCGGGCTTCAACCGCTTGACCTGTTCCTCTGCTGCTCTTGCAAGGGACCCGCCAGTAGTCAACGCTACAATGTTCGCGCATAGGACCCTGCATTTCAGCAACGGTATCCGTCTGGGTCCTTTGTGGCAGGCTCACTTGCTTTTTGATCTCCTGTTTGTTCTTATTCTGAGCAGTGTAGCAGTTTCCATTTTTATTTATTTCGGTACGAGCGTGGATGACTCAGCAGCAGCAAGAGCCAGCCACATTATCGCTAACGACCATATTCAAGATCCTTGTGACACCCAAGGAGGAAACTGGATATCGAGTATTATTCGGTGGTGCAGACGGGGCTGGAAGAACGTCTTCCTGAACATTCTCGGTCGGAATAGGGATCCAGCATAAGTATGTACATACATTACATTACAGCGCATAAAATTTTAGGTCAAGTTGGGCAGTAAGAGATCAGATCGGATTATACCATGTTAGTCAGGTATTTGAAGTTTACTTAGGTACCTAACTTAGCCTAAGGGGTGAACCTCACGCTTTTTATTAATTTAGGAGTTACTACATAACTGGAGAAAAGGAGTCAATTTCTCTCAATAAGTTGTTTTTAGAAGTGCCCTGGTTGGCTTTCAGAAACATGTATGTACAGTACTTATTATAGACATGCTACAATGTGCTCCTTCGTTTCTGTTCTCCTCTTCTTCTGAGCCAGCATTGCAGTGCTTGAAGGGATTGACACAAAAGGCAATTTCAACAGACCACGCTTATGCTTCCTCCGGAATGAAAGCAAACATCTTGATCTCGATGCTCTGCCGCGGCTCCGCGTCGACAAACTCGGGATCGACAAACGCACTGTGCGCGACGGTGCACCCTCCCTGCTCCGTCGCCCGGCTGTCAAACTGCTTGAAGAGCAGCGGCTCGTTCGGCTGCTGCCGACTGAGATAGTACCACTTGTGGTTCGCGCTGCGCACCACCTTGCCCAGCTCGTTCCAGCCGTGCGGGAAGACGAACCTGTACGCGATCCACTCGTCCTGAGCGTTTACGGACTGCCAGTCACACACCGCGAGAGGGTCCTTGGTGATCGTCTTCAGCGGCCGCCACACATTGATCGCGAGCACGCGTCCACGTCGCAGCCGCTCGACTTCAGCCGGGTCCTTGACCGTGATGTCGAGATTGTGCAGCGCCCCTGTGGGCGTGAAGTCCGAGTGGACGCTGTGGGCGGGCGCGCGATTGTCGGCACGTTTGGCCGAGTCGGTGGCCAGACAGCGGATACGATGGGTGAAGACAATGGATTTGGTGGCGCCGGTCCTGCAAGAATGTTGTAAGATGGAGCAGCATTCTATGACTGCAACGTACTACTGGACGTACACTTGCCGCACCAGTTCCTCTGTCTTCGGGATGAGAATCGCCTTGATTTTCTCCTCGTCGGACCAGTCGTCTAGCTCGGGGACATCGTGACGGACATACTGGAATCCGTTCTTGTCGAGCGTGTACTTGGCCTCTTCGCCACGGATGTCGTGGATCTGGACTGGATGTCTCTCGTTGTAGTTCTCCTGCTCCGCAAAACGCTGCTCGCCGCCGGGCTGGGTGAAGTCGGTGACGACCAAGCGGTCTTCCAGCCGTTTCCAGTAGACCAGTTCGGTCTGGATGTCTTTTTTGGAAGGCACGACTGCCGCAGCTGCCATGGTAGCGTCAAAGAGAAAGAACGACCCGTATTTAGCGAGATCTATCCCAGGTCGACGGGAAGAAGTTGAGCTCTGACTTTCAGGCAGGTGACTCTATAATAGAATGTAGAATCTGCCATGTCGAAAGCCATGATGCTGTCTGTATAGCATGTTGATATCATGAGGGGTAGCAATATGGGTCTGTATTGCTATCGTCTTCGGGTTCGTATTCGGATTAGCAACAGACAATTCGGGCATTGATCGGCGGCGTTTCATGTTGTGCGGAGTATTTTAATTCCCCATCCAGGCAATTATATGCAGTAAATGAGACAAGATACCGGTTAGTCGTGTGAGTTTAACAGAAGAAGGATCCAATCGTAGTTGTGATTATTCCATACAGTGTACCGGACAGCAAAATAGTTCCCGTGCCCGAACGAAGGTCGGTGGAGTAACACTGTGCAGCCTTATAAAAATTATGCAGTGCAATTCTGAGAATCCCCGACATCTATAATAAGAGATGCTACTATATATTATTCTCCATTAGACTGCAATCCAATGGCTATATCCTTGGTGCTGTCAATAAGCTTACCAAATAGTATAAACGGAACGACCGCTTGTATCACCGCCTACCAGTGTGGGAATGATGCATGATTTTGCCAAACATACCTAATTTGGTAGGTATCGTATCAACCTGAATACACTATTCAAGCCATTATTATTTTGACAAAACCCTCAATAGTACAGTATGATCTGATCTGGAGATGTGTTCGTGTCTGTGTATCTCGCAGCAATTTTAATATTCATTCCTTCCTGCCGTCAAGGTTGTACAGTACATACTTTCCATTGCCAACATACTGCAATACTCGGAGAACAGTACGCAACTACAGCAAGTCTGTCCTCCTAATCATCATTCTTCCTTTTACTCCGGAGTATGATATGTGCATGCGGAGTATTACTTATTCAATAGGTAGGTACTGTACTGTACATACGTAGATATCGAACACGTGAACTTTCTAAAAATGGAGTGGCGCTAAGACATGGTTAATACACTAAGCATCCCGATTGGGTAATTTTTTTATGTCGGGTAGGATCAAAGTTAAATAATAATCTGCTCAAAAATGCTCTCTCTCTCTCTGACTCCCGCCCCAATATATGCACATACGTTTATCTTCTCAACTAAGTACCTACCTAGATAAAATATTTTGCTCAACTAATTAAATCCTTCCTGTATAATATAGTATGTACTGTACACGCGTTCACTAAACCACCTCAGTGAGGAGTATTGCGGTGGCTTTTTTTTTCACCTTGCAATTTCATTAGCCTGAAAAGTTGAGTCGAATGATGAGTTGATTAGAGTGCATATGGATTTGTATTTCTCGAATCATAGTAGGCATTTAATGTTACTTTATTGTAGATCCTACCTCCCATGATAAACAGGGTTATTTCTTACCCCTATTTTTTTTAATCGCTTCTTCGTCTCTAAATATCTATCTATCTATCTATCCACTGCCTACCTACAAGGTTCAATTTGTGCTCTGACGGACTTTTAGTCTAACCTCATCTTGATTCTTTTTTTTTGGTCTTCTTGCCCGTCAATATGGATATGCCCGGTATGACTATGACAACGTCAGCCATGTCGATGGCTACAGCCACCGCTTCTGGAGCAATGGCTTCGTCGTCGTCAATGAGCGGGATGGGTATGGGTGGTAGCTGCAAGATTTCGGTATGCGTTGGAGAAAGAACTTTCCCCTGTCGCGTGATTCATGCTAATAGATTCTGTCTCCTGTCTATTTCTAGATGCTGTGGAACTGGTACACCATCGATTCATGTACGTATCAAAAGACAGCCTTCGTCTACATGCATTCCGTCAACTTGCTCACGCTACTACCGACAGGCTTCATCACCACCCACTGGCATGTCACCTCCCACGGCATGTTTGCCGGCTCCTGCATCGGCGTGATCTGCCTGGTCATGATGCTCGAATTCCTGCGACGGCTCTCCAAGGACTACGACCGGTACCTGGTGCGGCAGTTTCGGCGACGGACAGCGGCTGCGGCGTCGTATGCGCGTGCACAGGAGGTGGTTTGCTGTCGGGAATCTCCTGGGAACGATAACAATGATGGCAACAACGCTGCTTCAACGAAGGACACATCCAGTCCTGCTCCTGCAGCAGCAGCAGCACCTGTCCTACGATTCCGCCCCACCCTCGTCCAGCAGAGTATCCGCGCCCTGCTGCACATGGCGACGTTTGCCGTGGCGTATTTCATCATGCTGCTGGCCATGTACTACAACGGGTATTTTATCATCTGCATATTTATCGGGGCGTATCTGGGGGCGTTTGTCTTTACCTGGGAGAGTGTTAGCCTTGCGTAAGTGCAGAACAGAGCTGACTATCTTAGATGTATGCTGGATTGACTGACCATTGGATGATTGTCGAATGTGTGATGTATAGACCGACTTCTGCAGGCGCAGGTACCGTTGGACCAGAAGGCGTGACGGTTTGCTGTGGGTAGGAGTGAGATAGAAAAGAAGAGAGCAGACAAACTATCGATCGGTTGATTCATTGATCAAAAAGAGAGTCATCTTAGACTTAGATAAGGTACAGTTTTTCATGGAAGGAAATAGCAGCAAGAAAGAAAGGATCCGTCACCGCCGCGGCCCAGGAGAGTTGAATTCAGTCCACGTGATGAATGTAGTAGAAATCTCTTTCCAGACGAACCCAGTCGATGAAGGTGGAACTAGCTATTACCTACCTAGGTAGCTCGCTGGCTCTTCTGGCTATTCTGAACCCATACAGGAAAGCACTTGAGAGCCTCCTTTGCTTTTGGCTAGGCTCCATTTCTCCAGATGGTTTCTCGCAAAACAGAGAGAACAAAGTTGGACTAAAGGACTTGTAGAGTAGAATAGTACCACAACGCAACTGACTCTCTGGGAACGCTGGACACTGAGGGATAAGAGAGGAAAGAGTCTACTTGTTATTTAGCCAAAGAGCTGAACCCAACTTCCCTATCTATCGCTCCTCGGAGTCTGCGTTCGTACAGCAAATTTTCTGGCAACAGATCAATTGCAAGGTATACACCACTTTGATGGACCTCACAACTCCCAACTTCAACATCAATATTCTGTTCTGGGCCAAGAAGTGAGATTATACTTGAGTGGTCATGGAGTATAAGAGGTTAAGGAGGTTGAATAAACCAAGGTAGTTCTCTTGGCCTAGTACAGAGTACAGTTCTGGGACAAAGTCTAGATGATCCGTGCATCACCACCGATCACGCAAAAAAAATTATTTTCGATAGTAAATATAGGTATAATATAAGAAAAATTGCCATTGTAGCTACCTGAAAAGCTTCAAATGAAGATGAGCCGCTATGGCGCGCAGCAAGTTAGCAATAAGTATCCCTATCAGCCAAGGCGGTATACAAGCAGCGGTCTCGTGGCGCAATGGTAGCGCGTTAGTTTCCGGTGCTAAAGGTTGCGCGTTCGAGTCGCGCCGAGATCGTGTTGACATTCGCTTTTCTGGCTTTTCTTGCCTTTTTTTTTCTGAGGTCCTGTACAAGGACCGGGACAGAACAGGTATATTTTTTGCGCGATCGGAGGTGCTGCCCTCAGCATACTACCCGTGCTCCCGCCCCAACATCGTCCCGTGTTGGTGCGTTGCACCGTAACGTCCATTTTGACCACAACGTCCAATTTTGAATATTTCATCAATTTTCTACCTCACCACAATGCCAAAATCGCCAGATAAAATCGAATCCCGAATCCAGGAGGCCTTAAAAAAGGCTTCATGTCAAAAAAAGCCAAATATCTCTGCGTTGGCGCGAGAATTCGACGTGCCTCGCAAACGGCTTCACGAACGCTTCAAGGGTCGGCCACCAAGAACCGCCAAAATCCCGCGCAATAAGGTATTAGATGACCAGCAAGAGAAGGCAATTATTCGCTGGATTCGACAGCTTGATTCCCTACATTCGCCGCCTACCCCAAAGATGATAGAGTGCTGTGCAAACCAGATTTTGCAGAGGAATGTGTTATCTGTATCCAAGCCGGCTCCGCGCGTAGGGGAAACCTGGGTATATCGGTTTATTCAGCGCCTTCCTGACGACCTACATCTTATCAAACAGAAGCCAATTGAGAAAGATCGACTAGGGGCAGAAGATATTGGTATTCTGACACATTGGTTTGATCTCTTGGAGCCATATATAGCCCGGATTCCACCAAAGAATATATATAACTTTGATGAAACTGGCTTTCAATTAGGGCAGGGGAAATCTCAAAAAGTCGTCACTTCCAACCCTATACGAGCCTCCCGAGGCATTGCAACTAGCGAGACAAACGAATCCTTGACAGCCATTGAATGTATCGCGGCCGATGGTACTGTCCTTCCTCCATACTTCATCTTCAAGGGCGAATATCAACTGGAACGTTGGTATCAACAAATTCCTGATTCTGCGGATACAGACAAATATCGAATTGCTACAGCTTCCAAAGGATATACAACAGATGAGATTGCAATGGATTGGATCAGGCACTTCCATCAGCATACAGAAAAGCGGGTTTCTAAGACTGATGCAAGACTATTGCTTATGGACGGCCACGGATCCCATCTCACATATAATTTTCTGAATATGTGAGAAATACAACATTATACCCTTCTGTTTTGTGCCTCATACAACCCATCTTGTCCAGCCGCTTGATGGTCAGCCCTTTCAGGCCTATAAACACTATTTTCGCAAGAAAAACAATGAGAATATACAGTGGGGGATATCCACTATGGACAAGGCCGACTTTCTTCGTGATATCCCTCAAATTCGCCAGGATACATTCAAACAACGTACAATCCGAGATGCCTTTAGTGATCGGGGGATATATCCATGGAATCCTTCAAAAGTACTTGACATTCTAGCCAACGCAAGGTCTCCATCTCCGGTTCTAAATATACGCGATAAAACACCATCAATTCAATCTATCTCAACCAATTCTCCTCCCCAGACAGTTCGTACACTGCGACGGAGCATTCAGAAGCTGGATAAGTTTGTCAATGAAAATCCTAGCCTTGATCAAAGCTTTACACGCCGTCTTGACCGAGTCTTTCAAAGTGCTATACAAACAGCTGAATTGACAGCCCAACTTCAAAGCGATATCTCTCAACATCTAGAGCGTGCACGCGCTCCAAGCTCTCAGAGATCTCGCAGAAGAATCCCTACTATAGGGCCATTGACAGTTAAAGATGCAAATCGTCAGGTTGCTGAACGTGCTGAAGCTGAACGAAAGAAGATTATTTCCCGTGTCCGGAAACGCCAACCTTCAAAGCCAATTCCCACCACTACACAACGGTCGGATACTGTTGAAAATACTCAGGGAGATAGCCAGGATCCAGGAGATATTAATGCGCTATTTAATGTATTTAGATACTAGTCTAGATGTTGAGAAAATTGATGAAATATTCAAAATTGGACGTTGTGGTCAAAATGGACGTTACGGTGCAACGCACCAACACGGGACGATGTTGGGGCGGGAGCACGGGTACAAAGAAATGGGCAAACGGAATAGATATCTTTATCTCCGGGACAGAATCCGAAGCCCCCTCACCGCCTTCGGCGGCAACTAGCCCTACGCATTAATCAAGCAAACATCTCCCAAGCCACAAATCTAACACTACTATAAAACTATCACGCTATGCATTATTACCCCACAAGACCCATAATAAAACGAAACAAACAAAAAAAAAGAATAAAAATAAATAGATATACCATATCGACGATCTCGGCGCGACTCGAACGCGCAACCTTTAGCACCGGAAACTAACGCGCTACCATTGCGCCACGAGACCCGTTGCTTATCCACCCCAAATTCGAGGTGGATCTCTTGAAAAGAGCCCGCAAACCCCAATATTTGATGCTTTTTGTGTACGAATAACGATCTTATAAGCCAGCTAGATAGTTATCTTCGATATCTTCTCCTTTTTGAAAGTATCATACTTAAGCTTAAGGTCAATGGCTATCAGGCCAGGTCTGCAGCTGCTCCTTACTGCTGCATTATGCATTTCAGTTTTATTTTTTTTATCTACTTGATATCGATTATGTTACGTCGCTGTATACATATTCATCCTGATATACTGGAAATTATCAAGGTAGGAATCGATCGATCGATATTGTTGTTTCATTCATTTCATTCTTTCTTTCCTTTCTTTCACGCCTTCTGAACCAACCCCAACTCCTGCGCCTGCACATCCACAATATCCGGCACCAGCTCGAGCAAGCTCGGCTTCGTGGGCGTCCAGCCAAGCAGCTTGCGCGCCCGGATCGCATGGCCACGCGAGTTGCTGCCCCAGGCGTACGGGCCCCAGGGGTGCGCCTGCGCCGTCTGGTCCTTGTCCAGAGACTCGACCTCGGCCGACGCGATCAGCTTCTTGTCCGCGGCAGCCTTGACAATCGCCCGCTGCACATCTCCCCACACAAACGACCCGTTCTCCGCGAAGTAGTACCCGTCCTTGCTGCCCCAGGTCGCGTTGCCGCCTCCCGCTGCGGCCGCCTCGCCCAGCGCCAGATACACCTTGCTCAGGTCCTGGATGTGCACCTGGTGCCAGACATTCTTGCCCTCGCCGACGACGAACCCCTTGCCTCGCTTCAGCACCGCTGTCGCGAACAGGTACGCCTGGATACTGCGCGTGTTGCCGGAGCCGCGGCCAGGGCCGTAAATGGTGGGTGGGCACACGATCGCCGTCTTGACTCGGTCAGTCGCGTCCTTGTCCGCAGCTAGGACGATCTTGTCGACGTTGCGGTGCAGCGCGTCGTCCGGCAGGTGCGTCACCTCGTCCACGCCGTCCCAGTCGTTGTACTCCTTCTCCCGGTAGATGCCTATCGTCCCGTTGCGGGTGTCCTCCCACGCCAGGATGCCGGTGCCGGAGGTGTGGATGTACCAGGCAGGACGGTCAGGGGTGTGCGCCCTGAGGCCTTTGACGATGGCGTGGGCGGAAGCTTCATGGTCGCAGTCGGCGAAGTCTGTGGAGAGTCAGCTTTAAATAATAAAAGGGGTATGTGGGTGTACGCACGGTAGATAATATCCGCCTTCTTAGCCTCCTCTTCCAAGATGTCCGCCGAGTCGAGATCGCCGTAGACGATGCGCACCTTGGGGAACACGCTGCTGAGCTGGGCCGCCTTCTCCTTGTTGCGCACCAGGGCGGCGAATTCCCAGTCCGGATGGGCGTTGTACAGCGTGTAGAGGGAGTCGCCGCCGATGTAGCCGGTGGTGCCGGTGCTGAAGGCAGACAGTCAGTACGCCAGTAATCTAATTAAATTGGGTGAATTCAATTCCGAAAGAAGAAAACCAAGTGGCTCATCTCATCTGGGGAATAGGTAGGCAATGACGTACAGGAAAACCTTTGGCGGAGCCATGGTGCAGTATGAATTATAATCTGATCTGATCTGATCTGATAAGGTACGCAGTCAAGTGACCTGTTTGTCTTCTTTCACGGAGAGAAAAGAAAAACAGGACTTCAAGCCACACCAGTATTCGAAGTTATAATAAGTGTCCATTCCACCCTGGTAGTCAAGTGCGGGCCTGCTTTGAAATCAGCCTGCTGGTGCCGTGATCCGTCGATAAATGAGCGAGCGAGCGTCAGAGGGGTGGGCTCTGCAAAGGTGGGGTTGCACGCAGCTAGTAGCTTAGGTAGCTAATTAGCTACTATTATCACTCGGTGGACGTTCAAGCATTATTCCATGTTCTTCTGAATGAATAATCGATGAGGAGCGAAGAGTGGGGACGGGATTGACGAGGAGAGATGTCTCCGATGAGGTGATTGACGAGAAGTCTCCTATACTATAGTCTACTCTGTACAGACCACTGGTAAGTTTTATTATCATCATTTTATTGTAAGTGCAGACGGCAATTATCTACGTCTTATTCAGATATTATTGTCTAGCTAACTCTGGATCTACAAGGATGAAGTCGTTATAACTGGTGCTTATGACGTCGACTCGGCACTAAATCCTCCGCTCATTAGTAATTTGGGTGGGGTGAATTGCCCCTCCAAACAATGCACACGGCAGTGATCTTGGATATGAATTGCAGATCAACAATGTGCATGTTGTTGCAATTAGATTATGGTGGAATAATACTGTAGTGTGCTCAAGGAGGATGTTTTTGTTTAATAAAAGAAATAAAAAACGGAGATAAAAAACAAAGGAAAGCTTCTTCGCGTACTCGTATACCAAATAGACAAGATATAGCCTGAGTCTAGGTTCAGTTCCATTGCGAATCAATATGGAATGTCATGACTTCTAAATCTGTCAGGTGAATATCAATATACGAGATAGATACATCGTCTGGACCATAGCATATAATCAATCGCCAATACTGATAGATACAAAAGCAACCACGGGAATGATTCAATGGACATCAACGAACATCATCTGAGCAAGTGCAGCACTTTACACCGTACGCAGTTAAAACGTGCTCTGCGCCAGGCGGCTGGCCGCGTTCTTCGCATCCAGTCGGTCCTCATCGTCCTCTTCTGGAATCGAAGCCACGCCGCTCAGCGCGCGGCCTCGGCCTTTACCATCGCCGTTAGCCTCCTCATCGTCCGCCAGCGTCGGTATGATACTACCGCTAATGCTCCGGCTCAGGCTGTCGCTGCGCCGCGGCACTCCGCTCCACGCATCGCCCTTCGGGCCTTGGCTCGACGCCAGGCTGGCTCGACGCGCCGCCGGGTGCGACTCGCGCCCCAAACGACTCAATCCACCTGAAGAATCGATCGCCCGGATGTCCGGTCTCACGCTCTCCAACGTCGCCAGGGCCCGCCGCTCGGCTTCGATCTGACGCAGCGTGTATTCCCGAAGACTCGCCAAAACGTCATCCGAAGTCCGACTGAACCAGCGTCGCATCTCCATCAGGAGGTTGGCTGTGACTCTCTGCGTCTTCTTGGTGAGGTAGGTCTCGTGGCTGATGGCTTCGTCAAGCGCGCTGATCGCCTCGTCGACCTTGTCCGGCCGCACCGAGGTGCTGCCTTTCAACCGGTCCGCGGCCGCCCGCTTGCTCCTTGAAGACTGCTGCGCTTGAATCAACTCCCGCAGGAGAATGTGACGGTTCGTCAGCGTCTCTTTGACGATGAACGCATCAGAGGAGTGGTAGTTCAACGGATCCCCAAGAGTCGTTGCCTCTGCCGTGCCCTGGGCGGCATGGTAATCTCCAATCGTCTGGATAATCTTGCCAAGCTTGCGGTACGCATTCGCCAACCCAGAATGGGTCTCCTGAACATGCATGTGTCCGAGCTTGACGCCCAGATCCGACTCCGCGAGGCCGAGTCCTGTCACATAGATTAGCGGACAGCATTTGAAGAAGGCGTGAGTGTTCTTACCTCGCCGTGCTTTCACCACGCGATCCACTTTCTGACTCGTGTCCATCGCACCCAGGTAAAACGCCTTGACCACCGGTCGCGCGTTCAGCAGCTCCGGAGTATCGTCTGGCGGCGGCGCAAATTGCTTGATCACTTTCCTGCGAACACCCGTGGCAGGCTGTTTCATCTTCACAACGGGGCTGTATCCGAAATCGCTCTCCACGAATAGAACTATCTCGTCATCATGGATGAGAACTTCATTCCCAAAGACGTAGTTCAACCATCGCTGCATATACGCCTTGACCCGCATTTCGTCTTCATCTGTCCCCGCGCCTGCTGGGGTGAGCGGTGGCGGCACGGCCGGTACGAGCGCCTCAGGATTCGAAGAGATCAGGTGTTCAGCAAGTTTGATGAATTCGGAATGCGTCCGGCGGACATCACGATACTGGGTCGTTCGAAACTTGGGTATATTGGTCTATTCAGTCGAGTCAGTGCCTCTCGTTCTTTACTCACGTAGACATCACGCGACTGCCTACATAGACATCAAACCGTATGATGGGATCTTTCTTGCCTGTCCTTTCCAGCCCCGTGACTTTCGCTTGTAGCCTGTACGTAGGAGCGGCGGGCCTGACATTCTGTCTGGCTCCCGTCTGGTAACGTGCTGGTGCCTGGGCTCGCGGGTGCTGGACATAGGCCGCGTGCGGAGTGGCATACGGCGGCTGTTCCACGTAGTCGGGGTCGCCTAATTGCGCACTCTGGAGTCGCTCAGAAAGATCGGGAGAGGACGGCTCGTCGTCGTCGCCAGCTGACGCCGAACTCTCTGGACGATGAGACTCGTGGTCGTCGCCGTAGGGAGATTGCTGATTGGGAGGCAAGGGGTTTGGTGGGATGTCCGCAGTGCCAGCCGCGGTGAAGGTCGGCCGGTCCGCGCTCGGGGATCCCCATGGCGATGGGCCGGCTGGATCATTGTTGTTTATCGAGGAGTAGTCCATCCTGCGTGGTGGTTAAGATGACTTGCGATCACGTTCAGCAGCTGTCCTGATTCGGGAGAGCTCGAGCATGCGGCTCCGCCCCTGCGCTTGCCACCGATGCCACACCGCGATAACAGACAGCTCAGCGCAGTCGTAACCTGGCGAAGGCGGATCTGCTGCACAGAAAGAAGGCCTCAGGACAGGCAGCGGCGTCGGTCAGCGACTGCGGAGATGGCGAGAGTCGGCCAGGAAGGCGTCCGGTGGATGGTCCTCGAGAGCTCGCGCTAAGCCTGATTGGTCAATGCAGTGCATCGCAAAAGCTCGCAGCGGAGCTCTGTCGATGCAGCGTGCGAGCAGCAAGAACTTGCTGGAGCTGCCCTATCAGCATTCCAATGGGCGATAGACTGCTCTCTCCTCATTCGTCTTGATTCAGCTGGCTTGACGATGGCCGCTGCTCCGTTCCTGGCCAGATCTGGCATGCGATCTCTTGCCGGACTGTCCAGACCGGCGATCTGCAGGCATCGACTGACTTGGGGTTGGCCTTCAAAGGGGCTGCTGAATTCACTCTCGAAATGTAGTGGCCGTGGATTCGCATCGACCGCTTCTGTGCTGGAGGCTGTCGATCTGGAAAAGACCAGAAACATCGGCATCATCGCCCATATCGATGCGGGCAAGACGACCACGACGGAGCGCATGCTCTACTACAGTGGCTTCACGCGACGCATGGGCGAGGTCGATGAAGGATCCACTGTCACGGACTTTCTCCCCTCGGAAAGAGCGCGAGGAATCACCATCCAGTCTGCAGCTATCACGTTCCACTGGCCACCGCGGACTGGTGCAGAGTCAGACAACCTCAGCGTGCAGGAGTTGGAATCGAAAGGACTTCCAAGGTCTACGGTTCCACACACAATCAACCTGATCGACACTCCTGGCCACGCAGACTTTACGTTTGAGGTTCTACGTTCGCTACGGATCCTCGACGGAGCTGTCTGTATCCTGGATGGCGTGGCCGGAGTGGAGGCGCAGACAGAGCAAGTCTGGCGCCAAGCAAGCACCTACAACATCCCCAGGATCGTGTATGTCAATAAACTTGACAGAGATGGGGCTGCGTTTGGAAGAACCGTCAGAGAAGTGGGATCGAGGCTGCAGGGCTGGCCCGCAGTCTGCCAGATTCCCTGGTTTGAGGGCGGCAATGGGCGATTCACGGGCGTTGCCGACGTCGTTTTTCTGCGAGGTCTTTTGTGGAAGGAAGGAGGGGATGGTAAAGCAGTGAAAGCGTTCGATCTCCAAGAGCTTGAGGCCAAAGAGAGCCAGCTCGCGAACGAGCTCAAGCGCGCGCGAACCGCTCTGGTAGAGCTTCTGAGTGAGCACGACGAGACCATGGTGGAGAAGTTCCTAGAGTGTGAAGAAGATCACCTGGCAGTGTCCCCCTTGGATATCCTCCAGAGCCTGCGGAAATGCTTGCTGCGGCCTGGGAACAAGATCATCCCAATCTTCGCAGGTGCCAGCTTCCGCAACATGGGCGTGCAGCCACTGCTGGATGCCGTCGCCAACCTTTTGCCCAGTCCGCCAGAGTGCCCAGACCCAGAGGTCAGCATTGGCGGTACCAAAGGAGGCCTGCGTCGCCTGCTCAGCGGAGAATGGATTGTCGAGCAGAATCAAAAAGCCCCGTCACCTGCAAAAACAAAGCAAAAGAAGAAGGCAGCTGCCCAGGCCGAGGAACAGAATCCGATCGCCAACCTCGAGAGCTGCGCGTTGGCGTTCAAAGTCGTCAATGACGCCAAAAGAGGCGTTCTCGTCTACGTGCGTGTCTACTCCGGGACGCTGAACCGGAGTGCTCTGCTTTACAACACCAACCTCAACGTCACGGAGCGCGCGCCCCGTCTGTTCAAGATGTATGCCAACGACGCCGTCGAAGTCGACTCGATTCCGGCCGGACATATCGGCGTCGTTGTCGGGCTCAAACACGCCCGAACGGGCGACACGCTGATCTCCTACGCTGGAAACAAGGCCACGCCGCCAGAGCCTCTGAACACGCTGCAGCTGCGGCCGATCGATGTGCCTCCGCCGGTGTTCTTCGCCAGCATCGAACCTCACAGTCTGAGCGAGGAAAAGAACATGCAAGACGCGCTGGCACTGCTCTTGCGAGAAGACCCCAGTCTGCATGTCACCGTGGACGAGGACTCGGGCCAGACGCTGCTGAGCGGCATGGGCGAACTCCACCTGGAGATCGCTCGCGACCGGCTGGTGAACGACTTCAAAGCCAAGGCGTCCATGGGCCGGATCGAGATTGGCTACCGGGAGTGTGCGCTCAGCCGGTCTATTCCGGTGACGAAGATGTTCGACAAGGAAATCGCCGGTCGCAGGGGCAAAGCGGCCTGCAAGGCTGTCGTGGAGCCATTTGACCCTCAAGCAGAGACAGAATCCAGCGACTCTCTCCCGGATGACGTGATCTTCGTCGAGACCCGTGACGGGAACCAGGTGATCATCCGCGCTCCCAATCTCCAGATCGAGAAGGACAAGAAGGGCGTCGAGCTGAGTCCGAACCTGCCGCCTCATCTGGACGTCAACGCGGTGCGGTCGGCGCTGTACACGGGCAGTCTGGCGGCGCTGGCTCGCGGGCCGCAGTTCTCGTTCCCGATGCACAGCACGCGCGTGACGCTGACCTTCGATCCGGCGGAGCACGTCTTTGGAGCCGACACCAGCGCCTCGGCGATGTCGGCGGCCGCCCGTCTGGCCACGCAGGATGCGCTGCGAGAGCTGACGGGCAGCAGCGGCGCCGGCAGCGCAGGCACGGGGCTGATGGAGCCCGTGATGAACGTGGTCATCAGCGTGGACGAGGCGAGCCTGGGCGCTGTGGTGCACGACATCTCGTCCGCGCGCGGCGGACACATCGTGTCGCTAGACGAAGACGCCACAGCCACATCGCAGGGCAGTGACCAGCAACAGCAGCAACAGCAGCAGCAAGAACAAGAAGAAGAAACCATCGACGTAAGCAAGATCTACGCGCCGCCAGACCCATACGAATTGCCCAGCGCGGGCGCATCAGCGCACGTAGAAACCTCAACGACATTGTCGTCCGCAAACCAGCCGCGCACCATCACTGCCAAGGTGCCCCTGAAGGAGATGGTCGGGTACCTGAAGCACCTGCGCAGCCTGACGGCCGGCCGGGGGACATTCGTCATGCACGTCGATCGGTTCGAGCGGATGTCGCCGCCGCGGCAGAAGGCTGTTCTGGCGGAGTTGCACAGTATATATTAACAGCACTCTCTTGGAAGCAAACAATCTCTCCTCATAAATCTGATCTGATCTAACGTGATTTGATCTGATCTGGACGGAAAATTCTGGTTTTAACTGTCCTGTACTGTCTCTACTGTACCATACGATACTGTACTATACTAGAATTGTACGATATGATCGATCGATCGATCGACCAGGGAAGTAAGCGTGAAGACATAAAAAGAAAAGAGAAGAAAAGAAGGGTTCTGGCTATACGGTATTAGATATGCCTACTATGCTAGACTAGACTATATCATAATAATGTGTTATATACCTCTCAGCTTTGGCTTTTCAATTTAAACAACAGTAAATGCCTTTCTTTTCTTACTGTCCCTGTTCATTGTACTGTAAAGCTAATGAATCAGAATTGACTGAGGTATCGACCTATCTAATATATGTATATTATTTTATATTGTTATATCTATCTATATAGAGAACGCAACAAATAAAAAGTAGTAGTAGTAGTTTAAGTAACTAATAGTAACTAGTAACTACCTAGGTATATATAGTATAGTATATGTAGTACTATATCCATGGATATCGTCAAGGCTTCTAAAAAGTCAACGATGGATGCCTGCTAATAAGTCAAGACTTTATAAGAGCGAAACGAAACGAAACGACACGAAACGAACTAGACTAGACTAGACTAGACTAAACTGCCCTACCAATCATCGCTCCATTCGTCATTATTATTCCCTTTATTTGTTGTCGTCGTCTTCGTTAGCCCCGTCGCCGCGGGTGTGGCGGCTGTTGCTGTCGATGATGCTGCCGATGATGACGAGAAAGGAGAAGGCGACTTCTTCATCGCTGTCGTCCCGAGAGCGCCAGACGCGGGCCGCTCTTGTCGCCCTCCTCCCCCTGCGCCTAGCGAGGCAAAGTTGTCCCAGAATTCCTTGCGTTCGGGTTCGAAGCCGCGCCGTCGGGCGGCGACGGCTGCAGCTCTCTCGTCCGCGCCCTCGACGAACCGGTTCAACGACTCGGCGGCACCGCGAGCGCTCGTCTGCAGGTTCTGGCCGAGCTGAACGGCGGTTTGTCGCGCCTGGGCTGCAAAGTCGGTTTCTGCGAGCTGTACACACATATCAGACAGACTTTGGTTAGCGCACAGGGACAGAGACATGAGGCAAAAAGGCAAACTCTGGACCTACCGACTTGGCTGTAGGTTGTATGTACGTCTCGTTGACCGTCTTGGCCCCCTTCCCCACGGCCGAGGTGAACCAGCCCAACCCCTTCGTCAATGCTCCCACAGGGTCCTTCTGGAAGTCGTCCAGTCCCGGCACTCCGCTCAGAGCACCGCCATTCTGGCTGCGAGCAGGCCCGCTGGACACGGGCATCCCGCCTCCGAACCCTGTGTACTTCCCGCCTTGCGATGGAGGCAGATCCTCGCGTCGTGCCGCGTTCTCGCTGCCCAGTTTCGCGAAATACGCCTCATTGCGTTCCTTTCGACTCGCGGCACTGCCGTCCAGACCGCCGGTGGCGGCGGGCGATGCTCTGCCCCCCTGCAGCGGGGTGCTCGATCGGGAGGAATACGACTCGCTCGAGGCGTGATTCGTCGGCTGCTTCTTTTTCCTTTCTCCGGGTACGTATTCCCTCCCCTCGACCTTGGCCGTCAGCCGCTCTTTGTACTCCTCCCCGACCTCGCCGTCGTATCGCTCCTTGATGGTCGAGTCCTCGAACGTCCTGCCTTCGGAGATGGTGATCGGGTGCTCGTCGTAAAAGGTCTTCCACGTGTCGTTTCCACCATGCTCCATCCGCTTCAGCTCAGACGTCTTGAAGGCGTCCATGGTAATGGACCGGACGAAAGAGATGTGCACGCCCAGCCCACGGTGGGTGCCCGCGCAGTTCAGACAGATGAACGTGCCAAACTTGGGGGATGCCTGACAAACAGATTCGTGTTAGATAGCCGTCTCTATGCTCATTGTATCGTATATCAGGCAGAGAGGACGGCGTACCCATTGAGGCGAAGGCGCGCCGCAATCGCAGCAGCGATCATTGCCATTCGTCTTGGAGATCTGGAGCAGCTAGAAATAACGGTCAGCATGCAACAAAGAAACGGAAAAGCAATTGAGACAAGCTTGAAGGGACAATGTCTGCATACCTTGGCCCTCGTCTCCGGGTCAACTTCCCACATCTTGGACATGGTGGGCGGTGGACGGAGACGGGGACGGAGAGGGAAAGGGAAAGGAAAGGGAGGCCTGCCTTACAGCCCCCCCTTTGGATTCACGACAGACACGACAAGACTGCAATTTAAGCGGGGCAAATCTCTAAATCAAGGCGATCGAAAGAGGAAAAAAGTCACTATTGACGTCGCGTCTGTTCCCTGTTCTGGCCCCTGCTGGACGCGGAGGTTGGCCGGGGAGATTTTAAATTATCGACTATCGGGGGCGGCGCGCTTAATTCGTCAGTTACTATTTTGGCTTGGTCCCGTTCCCACTCGGGAAATGCGGCCCGTGCACCGTACTGTGCGGCGTATAGCAGAATGCTTAAACAGGATTCGACCAGTTCTGGCAACAGTGATACCTAGCTGCCGAAGGAGTAGGAATAGAGGGCCACGAGTCCTGTGGCTGGCGAGAATAATGCAAGCCAGATACGGCCCTGTATGTTTGGATTGTAGATAGAACGGCTAAGAGTTACAGTGTAGACCTGGCAGCACGTGCTCGTGTCACGCCACCGCCAACAGATTAATGCTCGAGCACCTTAATACTATTACATACTGGCAGACAGATACTCAGCACAGTTACCAGCGATGACAACGGATGGTGTATGCTGATATGCTTACATAATGGACCCAACTGAAGAATCGTCAGTTGTACGTCCCAGAGACGGATGCCACGTTGTGGAACGATAAACAACCGCTATCCAACACACCCTGCATGTCGCTACCAGCTGTGTAACCACTGGTAAGGCTGGAGTGCTGGACAGGCCCCAACAAAAAAAATATTTTTCCTCGACATCTTTGTTGTAGGTTCGATGGCTTGTACTGTGGTCTAGTTAGCTAGATTTTGAAATTGGGAACTGAAACTTCCTCGACAGTTGAGAATGTTTTTTTTATTGCGATTTTGGCAACAGCTACAGTCTCAGGAAATCGTGAAAGCTTGCTGTCCTTCAATGTCACAAATCATGTGCGGCTTCACATCCCAGGCCAAACATCGCCACTGGATGCCTGCGCTTTCGTCATGCCAATCAAGCTTCTTACATACAGTACCGTTTCAGGGCCGGACCGATGATCCACAGCGCACAGCGGAGAAGACTAGAATGCCGTAGTGGAGCATAAGATCCGGACAACTGCAACCTACTTACCTGACTGGTAATACCTGCTTCGCCTTACAGAGACACATATCGGGAGAAACATCAAGCAAGCGTCAAGATATTGCTATAAAATACAGTAGAAAGGAAAGTAGGAAATCGTAAGAGGTGTTTTTTTGTCCGTAAGGACACTATTGGCTTGAGTTTGGCATATCATGCGTCCAAGGTATCTAAACCAGTAGACACACGTCTGCTTGCATATCTCATCCACAACCTAAGACATGTCGCCCACTAAGAGATATCCACTGAACATCTCCATGCGTTGGAGCCACAAGTCCGTACATCATACATCCCCTGTTCGTGAAAAAAAATTCAACAAAAGAAAAAGAAAAGAAAGCTTGTCAGCCGTTTTAAACGGCGGCCGGGGCGGTGTTCTCCTCGGCGGTTCCAGCGGCCGGCTCAGCCGGCTGCTGAGTACCAGCCTGACCCGGGACAACATCCTCCTTGCCGGGGCTGTCGATGGCGACCTTGACAGCGATCTCACGACCTTCAATTTCCTTCCCATTCATCTCCTGGACGGCCTTCTGCTGCAGTTCCTCCGATCCCAGCGTCACGAAACCGAAACCACGGCCCTTGCGGGGCTCGTTCCGGGCCTGCAGCTTCTTAACCATGAAACGAGGGATCGGGCGCAGAGCGATCTTGGCAGAAACGGGCTCGTAGTCCTTGAAGATCTCCTTGAGCTGTACCAAGGAAGAAAAGAAGCACAGTCAGCGAGATGACAACCGTCATTGTGAGCACTGGGGCGCGGCGTACCTTCTCCTCACTCAGATCGTAGGGCAGGTTAGCCACCATGACCTTGGTCTTGGACGGGATGCCATCCTCAGGAGGACCACGCTGCTTCTGAGGACGACCACGGGGCTTGGTTTCCTTGGCCGCAGCCGGCTGGCCTTCATTGGTAACTTCAGTTAGTGGAGCAGCCTGACCCTGAGCGTTGGTAGCAGCTCCAGTGGCAGCCTCACCATTTTGCTGGGCCTACAGAACAAGAGTCAGTCAGACGGATCTTGTCCAAATGCGCAGGTTTTTTTTAAGACTTACAGGAGGGGCTCCGCCAGTGCGCGGGCGCCCACCACGGCCGAAACGGCCTCCACGGCCCCGGCCACGGCCACGACCACGGCCGGATGGCCTCTTGCGGCCTTCGTTGGCGTTGGCTCCTTCACCGCCACTCACTGCACCCTCCGCCTTGGTCTCCGCAGGCTCGGGCTTGCGGGCAACCTGGACGGAGACCTTGCGCTCCAGGATCTCCTTGCCGGACAGCTCCTGGATGGCAGACTGCGCCTCGGAAGCAGTGGCAAGGTCGACGAAGGCGTAGCCGACAGGGCGGTTGGTGCGCGGGTTGACGGGAATGGAGACGCTCTCACTGCGCGGGGGAAAAAGAAAGTGTTAGTTCTAGCCTCTTTCCAACTGTTCTGAAGATGCTTCACACGTCGCGATGGTCGCGAGTTGGATGGCTGCACTTTCCTCACAGCTCCGAGACCGATCCACACATCATCACCAAAACAAACCGACGACACGACAGCGGCACGTGATGATGATGATGGTGATGATGATCCCAGGAGATGGTGAAGACTCAGAGCAAAAAGGCGATGCGACAGGATACGGCGGGGGCGAGGAAAAAAAAGAAACTCACATGGTGTAGTTCTTGAAGAACTCCTTGAGTTCCCCCTCAGTTGTCGCATAAGCGAGGTTCCCAATGTACAGCCGACGTCCCTCATCAGCACTGGCCGCAGCCGCGTCCGTCTGGGCGGTGCCGTTGGCGGATTCGTTGATGGAGGTGGAAGCCAGGTTGTCGGCGAGGTTGTCGACGGCAGTAGACATCTTGAAGGCTGAGGACACTAGGTCGTTTGGCGTGGAGAACTGGTTGCGGTGATGGAACGGACCGGTGTGTGGAAAGACGACTCAGGTAGCGTGAGGCTGCCTTTGCTTGACGGGAGATTGACTTGAAGAGGGGGATGGAGGAAAAGGGTAGCTTGGTGCCCTAGATACTGAGAGTTGAGGGAGGAGAGTATGGGAACGGAACACGGTGATGCCTTTGGGAAAGTCGAGGTCGGGCTGGGGATGGAGAAAGGAGAAGGAGTGAAAAAAGGGCAGCGGCGACTAAGGCGGCGCTAAACCCGGTTTGGTGGCGGACCCTGGCCAGCTCACTCGCGGTGATCGTGGCAAGCGCCAGGCACGGCACAGCATGGCATTCGACTGTTTTCTGCTGCCCAGGGGAGTCAGGGACAACTGACAACTGGCCACCGCCTCCACTCGCTGGATGGACTGCGTGCGGTCCTTCTGGTCGCTTTCGATACATGGTGCATTGCAAATAATCATAGCCACTATAATGACTGTGTGCGTGGCTTTTGGATGGCATGATCTGAAGCGCTGATGGATCTGCCTTGTTTATTACGGAAAATGCAAGTGGAATAATTTATTGTTCCGATTCACAGAATGTTGCTTTTAAAAGAAGCTGAAGTACTCGATCTAACGGACTTGCAGTTCTTAGCGTACACCGGTATTGATACCTGATGATACCTGAGTCATCCACGGGAGCGTGCTTTAACCTTATTCAGCATCTTCAGAGTAGTCTGTCAGCTTGTTATGGTAGGACCTCATGCCATCATGGATAAGGTATTCTTCAGCCAAGAACCATCTAATAAAAACGTCCCTAGGTAAAAGAGCGATTCTACCTGTCCTGCTATTGCGAGTGAGATCTGGCCTCTCGGTAGTTCGGTGCCTGGCCATTGTGCAACCAAGATCTGCTACTCGTACTCCAGAGTAGTCCCATCACAGGCCACTATCCATCATACAAGATCTCATGCTTTGGAGCTGCTCTACAGGGCAGGACGACATGGCTTTTGACTCTGGACAGGAGCTTGATAACCATGGAGCGGCCAGCGGTGAACCGGCCAGGCAGCAGGTCACATGTCTAGACGTGATCTCGTCCTGGTCACAACTATGTACCGCCGCAGCTGACTTGACCACAGCTCATTCAGCACCAGAGTCATCACTGCGCTTCCCTGAGTGATGTTCGAGCAGCAAGATGGAAGGATCCGACACTCAATTGCCATTTGACGGGGGAATTGCTGATCGATGCTACCAAGATATTTAGCACCGAAGTAGGCCCGACACAACGCGGGGTCGCGCCTGCCCTCTGCTGTTGCGAGCTGGCCAGAAACAGAGCGAAGGCCGGACCGGGGCGGAAGGCGCCGGCAAGGGCTGGTTAGCGCGGGTGGCGACTGCCTCCCGCCAACAAGGTTGGGCGATCGGCCTTGCCATTCCACCCCGGCTTTTGGTTCTCCAAGCATCATGCACGAAAGCCGCTGCGCGCCTGCGGATCGACGCTGACTAACGCTTTCTCGCTACCAGAACCGCCCTCCGTCGGGCTCGACCTTTTAACTTCGCTCGTCTCTGTTCGGTTTCCTTCGTGCGTCGTCCCCGGTCCCTCGTCCATGCCTGTCTGTCATGGATCGAATCGAGCTGGTCGAGGATTCCAACGGCCGTTCTGCGGGGACCGCCCTGGAGGTGCCGCGGGAGAACTCTGGACAACCTGCTTCAAACGAGCCTCCCCCCAGTCCGGGCCGGTCGCAGCGTTCCAGATACCCTGCTCGACAGCCCAGCATCCGGATACGGCGGTTATCCTCAGTCTCGTCCATTGACCGCCAGGATGCCGTCGAAATCCAAGAATCGTCCGTCGAGGCGAACCCTCCGGCCAAAGACGATATGTTCCTGTCTCCGGACGACGAAGAAGCATCCCAGGCAAATCGACGTCGCAGCCTCTCGGAACCGCGCCCTGGCCGCTGGTCCGCGCCGCCGTCCATTGTCCTCTCCAGATTCGAGACATCCAACTCGGTGTTTCCCATGTCTCCCGTGAAGGAGGAGACGTCTTCGCAATTCCGCCCCTCAATGGATCTCAATGCTGTAGAGCGCCTGCTCCCGCCGGCACCGGCTGCCGGTGCTGAGATGCCCTCAGATCCGCGGAATAATAGAAGTTTGCTGCGACGGGCCAGCGGAGCGGCTCTCTCAGCTCTTGGTCGGCACCGGGCGTCGACCATGAGTGCGACCAACCCTGTGCGCCGGCCTCGGCCAGACGAATATGACTGGCGGATTGTAGATCTTCTCGATGTTGTTGGTAAGTTTAGTGCATTAACTTCTTTCACAGTGGAAAAAAAACAGGGCATATGGGGCTGACCGGGAAGCAGATCCGGAAATATCGACATTATCGACCCTTACAAACGTCCAGAACTCTCTGTTTGTCCCGGACCTGGGTAACCTGGTGAATCGTACCCCCACCTACAATCTCTCGCGTACCCCGGCCGAGGACTCGGAAGAGGAGACAGCCGAGGAGGCCGTCGAAGAGCCGAAAACGGAAGAGCCTCTAGATCGCCAGCAATCATCTGGAGACCGTTTAGGCCCGGTCAGCTCTATCAGCTCCGTGGTCGGTGACAACCCTTTCGCCGTATTGCCCGAAGGAAGTACTCTCGAGGGCTGGACCACGCGGGATGTCGAGGAGTTAAACGACCATGTCCGACACATGCTCCACTCCCGCCGTTCCAAGTTCAAGCGTGCCATGAAAGGGTTTTTGCAGTATGTTTCAAAGCGTAAGTGGTCGATCTGTCATCCAATTTGTGGACTAAGGTTGCGATGCTGACACACTTGCAAGCACTTGGATTTTTTGTGACCCTATATGCGACTCTGATCACCCTCTTTGGTCTGGCGTGGGTTCTTTTCTTGATCGGTATGTTCTACTGCTGAACTGATCAATTCGCACACACGAGACTAACAGTGATGGCAGGTTGGATCAACGTGGGTGGACGGCAACTCTATATCATCAACGTTATCGACAACGTTCTCGTGGCTCTCTTCGCCATCATGGGCGACGGCCTAGCACCCTTCCGCGCTAGGGACACGTACCACATGATTTACATTGCTCATTACCATCATCTGACATGGAAACTACGAAAAAAGCGGACACTTCCAAAGCTGCATAACAAGAACGACCTGCCGACACGACTGGAAAGTGAGGTGGACCTGGAGCGCAACGGAGACGACAAGGACGCGGAATTTTCGGTTCTTACCCCTGCTCAGCAGAGGAAACTGGAGTACCACCAGCAGAAGTTCGCTAAATCGCACACTTTCTACAAACCTCACGAGACTGAGACCCATTACGCTTTCCCTTTGCGCCTCCTCGTCGCCATTGTCGTCCTGCTCGACTTTCATTCCATCTTCCAGATCGCGTTGGGCGCTTGCACATGGGGGATCAATTACCACCACCGTCCGTTCGCGCTGACGACTGTGATCCTGTGTTGTTCGCTTACGTGCAATATTAGCGGTGGCGTGTTGATCATGATTGGGGATCGCATGACGCGCAAAAAGGAGGTGGTGAAACGGATGTTCCGGCAGAAGCTGACTCGCGAGGCGATGAAGAAGATAGAGAAGCGACGACGAAAAGAAGAGCGCCGGAACGAAGAGCCGGAGCAGATGAACCGGCCTGAACCATACTCCGGGACCTGATCCACGACCACCGAGATTGCCTCTTACGCTTTTTTTTTCTCTTCTTATTATTCTTCTTTTACGACTTTTACGACTGTACATTATGACATCCGGACAGGAGGTACCCTGACAGGTTGAACGGCGCAATACGGTTGGTTATATTACCGGACGCGGGCATGTTGGAGTTGGACTGAATTTCTTCCCCCATACCTTTCATCTACAGTGTATGCGACCCTGCTTCACGTGGAGATATATATCTGGGAGAGATTTTGTTGGATATAGAAATACATCATTGTAATATAGCTTTTTTTCGAGGGGGGGGGGGGGGGGGTTTTGGGGAGTTTCTCTTCTTGACGGGGAGTTTGCTTTTGCCTCCCATTCATACATACTTACATACCCCATGATCGAATCGAG